TGAGCGGCAGATCGTGAAAAGGACGTGATTTTAGCCAATCACGTGCGCGGATTCCTCTCCACCACACCTCGTAGGCGTCACTTTAGATTTTTCTTCGTCCCAACTCCACCATGGTTGCCGCTAAGTTCACCGTCGTCAAGACCGCCAAGTACTCCGTCCTTCACCCGACGTCGGGCTGCAAGCCCATGAAGCCCGTGGCTGTCGCCCAAGGCTGCTGCCCCCGCGGCCGCCAAGCCCGCCACGCCCAAGCCCGCCACGCCCAAGGCCGCCACGCCCAAGGCTGCCAAGCCCGCCGATGACGATGATGATGATGACATGTTCGGCGACGACGACGAGGAGGAGGACGAGGCCGCCAAGGCCGCCGCCAAGAAGCGCGCCGACGCCGCCAAGGCCTCGAAGAAGGAGAAGGCCAAGCCGATTGAGCGCTCGCAGGTCGTGATTGAAGTCAAGCCCTGGGAAGCCGAGACGGACCTTGAGGCGCTTGCCATCAAGATCAAGGCCCTCGAAGTCAACGGCCTCACGTGGGGTGAGAGCCACAAGCTCGTCCCGGTTGCCTTCGGCATCAAGAAGCTCCTCGTCCAGTGTATCATTATTGACGAACTTGTCTTGTTGGACGACATCACGGAAGCCATCGAGCAGTTCGAGGACGATGTGCAGTCGGTCGACGTTGCGTCGATGAACAAGATGTAAATTCGTCGGTGTTTCTATCTTCTCTTTAATTAGTACAACAAGTAGACAGTAGTAGATTGATTAAAACACTAGGCTATTTGTCTGTCACGTCTACCGACTCCTCTCGCCGCAATCGAGCAGCCCCAGCCAAACGAGGTTGAATGTCACCATGGTTGAAGATGCTGCCGTGGAATCTGAGAAGATCCCAGTTGCGATCTTCCACCTTCGAAACGCCGCGTGTACCGTACATTGCGATGGATCGCACCGCGCTGCTGCATCGGACAAAGGGCCGAGGCTACGGCGCACGCTACCACGCGCTCTGGACGTGGGCGGCCGCTGCGGTGGCCATCGCGGTCGCCTACTACGGCCCGCTCTGGGGCCTTGGCATGAGCCTTACCAGCCGCATTGACGCCTTTGAAGCTTGGTTCCGCGCCCACGGAGGCCTCGCGACACACGTGCGTCTCGCGCCGTTTGAGGGCATGGGCCTTGGACTCCAAGCCACCGCCACGATCCACGCCAACGACCAAGTGCTCTTCGTGCCCAGCGACATCATCATGTAGTACACGACGACGAGGATGGCCGCTGACGCAACCTCGTAGCGGTCGCGACGTGGCCTTGAACGCGCTGCCGAAAGCGATGCGCAAGAAAGTGGCCGCGCTGTCCTCCGACAACGACGTGCTCGCGACCTTCTTGGTGTACGAAAAGCTCAAGGGCCCCAAGTCCAAGTGGGCGCCATACCTTGCTGTACGTACGCCTCTGCGCTCATCGTGACGCAACGGCGTTAGGTCTTGCCGACCGAGATTGCGCTGCCCATGGACGCACCAGACGACGCGCTAATCGAGTTGCAGGTCGCACGGCTCCATCAACGCTCTCCTCATTGTATACATAGGATCCCGGTCTTATCCAGACCATTCGCGCACGCCAAGCCGCGCTCCGCGCCAGCTTTGCATCGCTCGAGTCGACGCTGGCGCGCTTCTTCGCGCCGTTCGGGGCACTCCCGACGCTGGTAGGCATGGCGCTCGGCCGTCACATCGCTTCATTATTCGCGTAGGAGCTCTACACGTGGGCGCATGCAGTCCTGTCGTCCCGCGCCCTCACGATCTCGGGGCGCCGCCTCCTTGTGCCCTTTGCCGACATGTTTAACGGCAAGCCGCACGAGGTAGTACACCTCATTGGCACGTAGAAAGCGCGCTGCAATCGCGGTAGGTGGCGCGGGCGGCCCGGGGCGGCGCGCACTTTCTGGACTTTCACCGCGTGCAGAAGGACGGCATGTATATCTTGGCCGACCGCGCGGTCGCGCCACCGCACCAGCTCTTTGAAGACTATGGCGACAGTCCGAATCACATGTCTCCTAAAAACCATCTCGGACATGGGTACGACTGATACATTGATAGTTATTTGGTGCACCACGGCTTTCTCATGGACGCCAACCCGTTCGACTGCGTGCACGTCGAGCTGCCGCTGTCGACGCTGCCAACGTCCTTGCAGACGCCGTTTCGCCGCCTCTTGTACAGCGACGAGATCGTCGACGAGAAGCTCCAAGCGTGCTTTACACCCACCGCCACGTACGCTTCCGATCCGCGAGGCAGCCACGCGATGGACAGATGACGTAGAACGACGAGTGCAGTCGCGAGCGCCTACCTCCAGCTCGTGGTTTTGGGCGAAAACGAGGCAACGCGCTGCGTGACGCAGCTCGCGTCATGCGCCAACGTCCACGTGGACGTGCCGACGTTGCTGAGCCGGGAGACGAAATACGCCGAGTGGTTCCTGGCTCGCGTCAACGACCAAGTCGCGGTACCGTCCGTGTTTGCATCCTCTTGTCGTGCTCATGGAATACTACTACCGTAGGCGTCGCCGACGCAGCTCCAAGACGACCTGGCGCTTCTGAGTGACGGCAGCGCGCCCTACCCGTACGCCCCTTTGTCCCATCAGCACTGTACATATATGTGTGCTCTAGCCTCTTTGTCGCGTACCGAGCGAGCCAAAAGCAGCTTTTGCTACGGTTGCAAGCGCACTTGACGCAGTTGCCGCCACAAATCGAGCGGGAGCCGGCGCCGAAAAAGTCGCTCCACGTACCGATTGCAACGACCGCGGTTGCCGCGCGCCTCGCGCGCTTCCATGCGTGGGTTGAGTCCTTTGACCTCCCGTCGCTCAAGATCCGCGTGCAGTACAGCGGTCCGTTGCTCGGGTTTGGCGCGTTTGCCACCGACGACATCAGTCTCGACGAAATCTACGTGGCGATACCACCGCTCATGCTCCTGGACGTGGCCTCAGCCATGCGCTGCGATGTGCTCGGACCCGTCTTTCGATCGCTCTACTCGTCGACGGGCAGCCGAGATCCGATGCACGAAGTACACTTCCATCCATCCATCGTCCACTCATAAGTACTTATGGGTGCAACTAGCTGCTGCTGCATCTCATGCACGAACGCTACGTGCTCGGCGACACCTCGGCGTGGTTTCCGTACTTGGATCTCTTGCCAGCGCTCGACGACGTGCCCGCTGCGCCACTCTTTTACACGTACTACGCGGCGTGCTGTCGCCACTACGTACTGAGATATGTGTTGGTAGCGAGGCCGAGCTGGCGCTCTTGGACGGCACCGACCTTGGCAGCCTCGTGCTCGCCTACCGCGATCAAGTGACCAAGAGCTACGACGCCATTCGGCGCGTCGTCTTGACCAAGTTTCCGCAGGTACAACACCGACCTGCATTCGATTGTGAGGCGATATGCGATGCAGGTCTTTTCAAGCGACGTCTTTTCATTGGCCGCGTACACGCACACGCGGTATCTGCTGGACACGCGGAGCATTTGGTGGGGCGGCGAGCGCCACTTGGTACCGATCTTGGACATGGTCAACTGCCGTGCCGAGGGTCCGGTGCATTCGACGATCCTCGAAACCGGAGTCTCGGCCTCGGCGCCGACTCTGGCGTTTGCGTCGACGCGGGCCAAGACGGCGTTCGCAGCGGGCGCCCAAGTCTTTGAAAACTCGGCCAGCCCAACTGGATCTACCTCTTGTACCACGGCTTCGTCCTCGAGAAGAACTCGTTCGAGTGTCTCCACGTCATCCTCGACTTCGCATCGCTCGTACGTCCTACCCCGGTGCGTCTGTCGAGGTCACTCATGCACTATCGCAGACCACTCTCGACGCCAAAGTGCAGAAGCGCATCGCGTCTCGGCTGCAGACGCTGGGCGTCGCGTCGCCAGCCGCCGAGTTTTGCATCAAGCTCACGGACGAGATCCCGAAAACGCTCCTGCAAGCGGCGGCCATGTTGACCACCGCGAGCGTAGCGCGGGGCGTCTCGCTTGAAGCGCAATGGCAGGCGCTGCATGACATTCTCTCCCAGAAGCGGAGCGTACTCGCGGCCAAGCTGCAAACGCCAGAAGCCGACTATGGACGGTACGAACATCGACTCGATTGACACTCGGCGAAGAAACACATGTAGGCGCGGCAATGGGCGGCGCAACGAAGCCACGATCAGGCGCTACCTCGAGAGCCAACTGCATCTCCTAGATCGACGCCTCGATGAGCTCGTCATGAAGCTAAGCGAACCGCTCATGTAACGAGAGAAATCGTACGTGATGTACTTGACGAGATGGCCGCGGGAGCTGCGGCGGCAGGCCGCTTTGGCCGCATGCGGGACCGCTTCGTACGTGAGATGGACGACGATGAAGCACATGTGGAGGAGGTAGAGCCACTTGAGGCCGCTGCAAGCGACCTCGGCGCAGCCTCGCACCACCTCCATCTGGAGCAGATCTTGAAAACAATATCCTTGGGTGGCGTGTTCCATATGTTATAACACTGTTTTGGCAAAAGACAGCGAATGTGCTACGTCACTGATTCTTGTACGTGGCCGTGGAGTAGCCTGTAGGAATCCTACGAGTTCTACTCAGTATGAGTGAAGAAGGGTTTCGCGCGTCCTTGTCGCCACTGCAAGCGTCAACGTGGTGGAGCAGCCTTTGATCGCCCTTCAACACTGTCTAACACAGTTATAACGTTTCCCGAAGATCTGACAGGCGAACCGGCTGGTTGTGTATCCGGTACCCTTCGGTATCCGGTTACCAATGCGCCAGCAGTTTCATCAAGCGACGCAGGGCGAAGCTCAAGACCATGACCTACATCTCCGGCGGTAGGGTCGTCGAGCAGCGCTCATGGCTGCGCTTGTCCATCTTCCCCGACATGTTCTGGGGTCTCCTCAGCATCATACAGCTCTTGTAAGTGTCTATGCGCCTCAATTGCACGCGTCTAACGACGACCGTAGCTTCTCGACCTTCTTCGGCGGGGTAATGCCAATCTAGCTTTTGGCCCTCGTTGGCATCTCATAGCGGCTACGTACAGGTGCCTGACGGCAAGTACTCGTCCAGTCGCCGCGGTGGAGGTGGTGGCGGCGGTCCCGGCGGTCCACGACGCCCGATCGGTCGCCTTCAACCCAGCACGTGCATGCCGGGTGCGTTCCACGATCGCTTTGTAAGAACGACGATCTTATATGCATCTTATAGCTGGCGGCGGCTGAGGTTAAGCGCGCCATGCGAGCCGTCGTACCGTCACTAGGACGACGTTGCTCGGCATGGCAGCCGCACTAGCAATGTGCGCACGGGTCTGATGGAGCCGAATGACTCGACATGGCGAAACCATCCCGCTATGGTGCCACGTGGACGAAAGTGCTCCATCTTCCAGAGACGCATCCGACTCGAACCAGGGACACGGCGCGCAAGCCCACTGGTTGGATCCACAAATGCCTCACTCTAATCAACGTAATCCCACGCCTTTGCAGTACATTCGCATACCGCCTTGGTATGGCATAATCCTCTGCGCCATCTCGGCCTCTGCGTCATGCTGCGTCGACGTCGACGTGCTTTTTGTAGCTGCGACGTAGGGGACGAAAATTGTAATTGTGTGTTATATAATCCGACGCCGTCATCGTCGTCGCCGTTAATTTGTACGTCATGTGGGGCTCCTCTATCTCTTGGTCTTGGCCCGCTTGGCGTGACCCTTGGTGACGTTCTTGAGCTTGCGCTTCTTCGTCTTTGCCGGGTCGTCCTCGCCGGTCGAGGCCTTGGCCTTGCCCTTGTTCTCTTCGCGGCCAAGCACGTGGTTGAGCACATGCATCGAGCGCTCCTTCTCCGTCTTCTCGGCGCCCGTGACGCTCAAAAACTTGTTGCGCTTGCCCGTCTGCTTGCGCTCCGCCTCGCCCGTGCGCATCTTGTCGAACTTTCCCATGGACGCGGTCGAGAACTGAACCTTCTGAAGCGCCGCCTTCGTGCCCTCCTTGCCGCGCTGCTTCATCTTCTTGTCGGACGTGTTGAGCATCTCGACGGGAATGCCGACCGGCGTCGCCTTGGGCACCGGCACCGACGGCTGCATGCCACCGGCGCGCTTGACGTTGGCGGCCTGGTTGCGCAGGTTCTTCTGCACGCGCTCGTTCTTGGCCTGCTTGCGTTCGGTCCACGGGTCGGCGAACGGGTCGTCGTTCTTCTTGACGGGCACCGCCCAGTCCTGCATGTCGTCGTTCGCGCGCTTGTAGCCCCAGCGCGGCGCCCACGCCTGCTTGGCTTCGTCCCAGACCATGCGGTCCTTCTTCTTGTTGTCGACGCCCTTCTCGCGCGCATACTTTTCCCAGCGCGTCTCCGGCTTGGGCTTGGGCAGCGGCTTCTCACGCGGAATGACCGTCGTGCCCGTCGGCAGCTGCGCCATCGGGCCCATGTCAGTCATCTGACGCGGCAGCTCAAAGATCTGGTTGATGAGCAGCTGGACGTTGTCGCGCGCGCTCGCCTTGAGCTCCTTCTCGTCCGATGCGTTCTTGACACTGAACGGGTGCGTGTCGAAGGCAGCAAGGTTGCCGAGGTCGTAGCTCAGATCGTCGGCCTTGGCGACGACGCTGCTGCGCGCGCCCTCCGAGTAGGCGGCCGGCGCGATCTCCGCTGCTTTGATGGCCATAACTTGGACTTTGGCAACTTGTAAGCGCCACCGAAATCGCCAACCCAAATCGATTGGTCCAAACTCAGAGGGTTAAAAATAGAAAACCTCTGGTATAACATACTTTTTCCCATCAAGTATTGAAGTCTATGCAAATAGAGAGGTATTCGACGACTGCAATGGATAAAAACACCCAGCAGCGCGCGTCCAAGTGCAGCTGGTGACACACCGGCAAGCGACTCGGCAAGTGACTCGGCAAGCGTGGTGGTGGAAGGATTTCTACGTAATAGTTTAGGTTCAATACCAAGCTCGAGTGGCTGCGGCCAAAGGGTATCTGTGCCAGGTAGAATGCAACTGGACCTGCGGTTATATACGTAGTGGGTCTCTTGGGCGACCCTGATAGCGTGGCAGGCACAGAGGAGCGTTGACATTCCTTCCCGTGCGGTCGACCGATCTACTCCATTGGAAAGCTTGACGACTAGTAGGCTAGCGTTGGTTCAACGCACCCAGCAAGTGAAAAGGTGCGAGGTAGCTCGATCCCACAGACTTCAACTATAAATCTGTAGTCAATCAATCCATTGGCTCTCATTCGATTGACCAAGCAGCTTGACAGCGTAGAGGTACGCTAGACCACTAACTAGACCAAGGGTCATTCGATGCTAGCTCTTTCGAGACTCTAAACTAGACACTGGAAAAGATAAAAAGTTGGCCGTCGAAATGAGTTTCAGAGCGCTCACGAAGCGTGTCGCACAGCTGTCTTCCTCGGCCGTGCCACAGCCGCACGGCGACGTTAGCTGGCGACGTTGCCGACAAGATCAACGCGATCATTACACGTATTGACCTTGTAATTCTACGTCGATGCATCCAGCAGCTGTCCTGGCACGAGCGCATTTCGCGGGTGGACTAAATTGCGTGTTTTAAAGCGGCCATGTTTTGCACCTGGGATCTGTGGCACCACATTTCCGATCGACCGGAACAAGCCGAAGCGAGATGAGCCGCCACCGCAACTTCCGCAACCGCGCCTACTCGTACGACGACGAAGGTACTAGCTGCCAGCACTCGCCAGCCATGACGCCACGTCGGCCATGTAGAGTACGATGAGGACTACTATGACGAGGAGCCGTACTCGCCCAACTCGCGTAAGATCGCAGCATGCTCGTGCCCGTACTAGCGCGACGCCGTAGAGGCCCACGTGTACCGGCGCGACTCGCCGACCGAGTCTGTCTTCTCGTTCCTCGAGCAGCAGCCCAAGGACGCCGAGGCCTTTGACGACTCGGGTACATGTTGCACCGCGAAATCCTGTCGACAACATGGCCGCCTCCTAGAGCTCATCCAGCCGATCCTGGACCAGATCAAGCGCACGTTCGACGTCGGCGTCATGCCGCATGCGACGCTCGTCGAGCAAGTGCGCAGCAACAACTACGACGTCGACAAGACGGTGATCGCGCTCATGGAGCTCAAGAAGAAGACGACGTCCATGACGGCAGGTACGCGACCCTTCCTCCATGTCGTCTGCATGCCGCAAGGCCTCCTAACGATATCTGTACAGTCGCGAGCCTGCCCAAGCAGATTGTGATTCCGCGCCTCGAGACGCTCGTCCTTGATGAGCCCAAAGCCAAGGCCGTACCAGGTAACCCCATCGCCCAGCGCATCCATCGCTCATTGCATGGACGACGTAGCGCCCAAGAAGGTCGAGGCGCAACCGGTGGTCTCTGCCTCGAACGCAGCGCTGGTTGGCTACCAGCTCACGCCGACGGAGCGCGCGGCGTTCGAGAAGGCGGAGAAGGCGAGCCAGGACAAGTGTCTTGGCGCCATGACGGCCGACGTCGACGCCAAGCACAAGATCAGCATGGTCGTGATCGGGCACGTGGACGCGGGCAAGAGCACGATCACGGGCCACCTCCTCTTCAGCCTCGGCTACGTGAGCAAGCAGGTCATGCACAAGTACGAGAAGCAGTCGCGCGAGGCCGGCAAGTCGTCGTTTGCGTTTGCGTGGGTCATGGACGCCGACGAGGAAGAGGTACCTAAATCTTACCCCGGGGCACCGTATATGGATACCACTATGTGTTGGGTAGCGCCTTCGCGGTGTCACCATGGACGTGGGTACGTCGTACTTTCAGACATCGACCAAGCACGTGACGCTGCTGGATGCACCGGGGCACCGCGACTTTATCCCCAAGATGATTGCCGGCGCGTCGCAAGCCGATGTCGCCGTCCTTGTCGTACCCGCGTCGACGGGCGAGTTTGAAGGCGCGTTCATGAAGGACGGCCAAACCAAGGAGCACACGCTGCTCGTGCGCAGCCTCGGCGTGACGCAGCTCATCGTCGCTGTCAACAAGATGGATTCGGTACGGTCTCCTCGACGTCGCCTTCTTATGCTTCGTAGATCAACTGGGCGAAAGACCGCTTTGACTTCATCGTCGAGACCCTCACGGCGTTCCTCCAGCAGTCGGGCTTCAAACTCGACCAGTTGCGGTAGTGTCCGATTTTTTTGTATTTTTTCACATTTTGAGGTAGTTTTGTGCCGGTGAGCGGTCTCTCGGGTGGGAACCTCATTGCGCCGCTGCCCGCGACCGACTGCCCGTGGTACAAGGGCCCGACGCTCGTGGGGGCCATCGGTACATTTTGCATGCTTCATGGAGCCGAATCCCACGACACTGTTTCGTAGATGGCTTTTACCCGCCGCAGCGCCCGATCACCAAGCCGTTCCGCATGGGGATTTCGGACATTTCCAAGTCGATGAGCCTCGGGCAGACGGTGTCGGGCCGCATCTACGCGGGCGCCGTCTCGACTGGCGACACGGTGCGTTTGCCGCAATGTATCCCGCCGACGCCTCACCTCGCGTAGCTGCTCTTGATGCCGGGTGGTCTCCGTCTCACAGTCAAGGGTAGCTATCTTAGTATCGTGTGGCACTGAATTTGTGGCTAGGGATGGAGCAGAACGGCGGGTCGATTCTCATGGCGTCGGCTGGCGACAATGTCGATTTGGGCGTCACCGGCATTGATCCAAGTGCACTGAGGTTCGATCCTTTCGTCTGTTTTCCGAAATCAGCACCTTTTGATTGATGTAGCGTCGGCAACATTCTCTGCTCGGTCGCGTCGCCCATCAAGGTATTCAATCCTCTCCGTTGATAATCTACAGTAGCAAGAGACATATTGCGTAGCTCGTGCGCCGGTTCGAGGCGCAGATCATGACGATGCCGGGGGTCGAGGTGCCGCTTGTGAAGGGCGCGTACATGACGTTCCACATCCACAGCATCGACGAGCCCGTCAACATTACGCGGCTCGTGAGCCTTTTGAAAAAGTCGGGCGAAGTCGAAAAGAAGAAGCCGCGCTGCATCACGCGCAACTGCTCGGCTGTCGTGCAAATCACGTGCACGCGGCCCATTTGCCTCGAGCTCTTTGCCGACTTTCGCCAGCTCGGCCGCTTTACACTGCGCGATCGTGGTGCGACGCTCGCCGCCGGCATCATCACCGAGATCCTCGCCTAAGAAAGTCTTCGCTCCGTCGTGGTTCAATACAACAACAGCCTGCATCCATGCGCGTCCTCGCACCTTCGGACAGAGGCAGGAAGGGATACATAGCACAGAGGGAGCAGCAGAGACCATTGGTGGTCGCTTCTCGGTGCGACCGGTTGCAAGGCTTGTGCCGGCTAGATCGGAACCTCGGCCTTGGATGCAAGCTTGGCACTGGCGACTGCAGGCGTACTGGCTGGTCGAAACAGTCCTCGCACCAACTCTCGATCTCGAGGCTAGCCACAGTCGGTACACGATTCCGTCAACCGACTTCCACGAAGACCGGGCGGGCTTATCGCTGGTCTGCAACCCAAGAGCAAGGCCGCCATGCAGTTGACGCGGCCTCAGTCATCGCTTTCCTCGATGTCATCTCACCAAAATGGAATTGTTGAGCACCATCGTTCGTCGGCCAGAGCTGATCCGAGCCCACCGCTGTCTGCAGCGAGCGGCGCGCTGAGCTCTTCCGATGACGAGCGTCTCGGCGTCTCTATCGGAGGCCACGCACTCGACCACCGCACCGAGGAGAGTGGTCGGGAGCTTCATGCCCGTGGTTGCGCTTGAGGCGGCGGGTGCTGTTTGACCCTTGACTGTATTATAATACATCGCGTTTATCTGCATACAATATACAAGCTATAAAATACAAAGATGCAATCCCATCGTGGATTGGTCCGTTTTTAGAATCACAGGTCGTGACGTGGCGGCCTCACGTGCATGCCTCCACGTTGTTGCAGTTACTACTGTATGCACTGGTGCGTTGCAGCAACACTGGGCGGCTGTCGTGTGGCACCCATTGGGCCCAGACCTCGCCGAGTGGCCAAGGAAGGTTCAAGGCTCCTCTCACGACCTTCAAGATGGAAGGATTCCGTCGCTGGATCGGCGCGTGGCGATCAAGGACTCGCGCAACGTGGCGTCCCGGCGGGGCATCGGTGTGAGACACCGATCCCTCAAGGCTTTGAAGCCAATCCAATGCTAGATACATCGGCACGAGCTTTCAGCACTGGTTGTCGTTGTCGTTGTTGGGGAAACACGGTCACATCTCCGCCTCGAGCGTCGAGTCGGTCGGGTCGACGTCCAGACACTTGTTGGTGTGCATCGAGTGCTTGATGCGGCCCTTGTCCATCAACCGCGTTTGGTTCATGTTGTCGAAGTTGCCACGTACGTGTGCAAGCCAAGTTTGGCACCGTCACGGAAGCCGTCGAGGCACTGACCGTTGGACATGCACTTGATGTAGACGTCCTTGAATTCGAAGAGCTCGTTGAGGTTCTGGCGCGCCGTGCAGGCGTAGAGTCTCGTATACTCTTCCGGGAGCTTACGGGAGCTTCTTGCCCTTGCACGTCTGGATATGCACGGACTGGGTCGTCGCGCCCGGGCACTTGTCAATGTACTGCACGCTGCCGGCTTCAACGCGGAGAACGCGGGCCAGGACAAGTCCTTAAAATAACAGGCCCGACGAGCTAGATCCTATTACTGTACACTAGTAACTCCATCGCCACGAATGTCCAGGAAGGGGATCCACAACAAAACCTCAATCCAAGCACGCTGGACATGAGCGAGGGCGTCGACACACGCAGTCCCTACGACTGCAATACTTGAATAACACACATAAGTATGTTTTAACGGCGTTGGATCTCCTCGAGACATGTCGTCGTTCAATGCGTCGGTTTCGTTTGGTACTGCAGGTTTTACGAGGCTCAAGATAGACTTTTAACCGTTTTCAGCGCCATCTTTCTCCTCCATTCTCGTCACTTTCCATTCCTCCATTCTCGTCACTTTCCATTCAAGAAAGTTGGGAATGCTGCAAAGGTTGCACTCGTACGCGCTTGGGCTTGCTTCGTTCGCCGTCGTGCTCGTCGTGCTCTACTGCGACTTGACAGCTTCGATGACGATGCTCCAGATCCTCTTTGGCGTCGACAACACGCAGGTCGGCACGTACCAGTACGACGCACCGACGATCCCGCGCTACCTTCGCATGCACATGGCTGACCCGACACGCCAAGCGAACGAGATTCGCTCGATGCTAGCGTCAGGAAGCCACATCATGTACATGGAGCCCGACCGCGAGAACGCGTCCGAGTATACCATGCTCGCAGGCAACTGCTCGACGTACCAGCCGAGCGACCGCCTCTACAACGAGTCGCACCTTCTGCCGGTGCTCCAGCGCGTGCTTCAGAGTCTCTCGAGCCCGATCGACTTGTATGGGGCAACGCACGCCGTGCTCATCGACTGCGACTACACGGGGCGGGTGTTCCAAGACACGTCCATCTTCAAGGCCTACCTCGTCGACGTTAACCTCGTCAACATGTCATCGATCGTGCTGCAAACCATGGTGGCCGAGCGCTCATCGACGCACCTCCAGACGCACGTTGGTCCCGCGATCGTCTCGACCGTGCCCATGAAATCGTTCTACGAACTCCCGCCTATCCAAGACCCTGTTGGGTTTCAATTTGGTCTCAACGCGACAAGCGCATCGAGCTACCACACCGCTGTCTCCTTCTACTTTCCATACGAGAACGCAACGCCTTTCCACGAGATGCACATCACGGAAACACTGCCGAGCAACCAGTGGGCCGCGACCGTCGTGGGCACCAACGAATCGCTCGTTATCAATGGCTACTCGGGTAGAACGACAATCCTTTCCAGCAAAATGTAAAGAAGATGGACTAGGCTACTACCGCAACAGCAACAACGACCAAGTCAACTACATCCGGTATGTGATTGCCATGTCGGGCAACCCGGTGCGGGACTTTGTCGTCGACCTCTTCGTCTCGCTCGGACATACAAAAGACTCGTGGGCGTGGGTGCAAGGCTTGGTCATCCTCACGATCAGCATCCGCATTGCCTTCACGATCCTCGTAGCAGCGGTCGTCTCGGCACGCTACTTTCTCGCGACACAGTCGATTTGGTTTCCCGATGTCTTTACGACCATCAAGCGCTACATCCGCATTCGGGCCTTCCTCTTCGTCGTTGCCTTGGTGATTGACCGCTTCTGGGCGCTCGAAGAGTATGTGCTCACGACAACGTTCGTCCGCTACAACCTCCTCCCGATGTTTGTGCTGGGCGCCAACGTGCGCTCGGACTTTCTCACTCTCTTTATTGTCTGGACCGACCTCTGGGCGACCGCCCTGCATCTTTCGCTGCCTCCGTTCGTGCCTGTCGCTTTGTACTTTGTCTGCTTTGGCTACAGCAACGACGTGGTCCAGCTGGTGACGTCCAAGGCGCTGGAGGAGGACGTGCTTGCGTACGTGACCGAGCTCTACACGCGCAACCTCGTCGACTTTACCGAGACGGGTATGAATCTCTGGACGTACTTTGCGTTGGACGCGGCGACGCCACAGCAGTGGTTCATGCTGCGCGAGTTTACGTGGTTTTTTGCTCCGTGCATTGGCATCGTCGCCGTGCTTTTGGCGTGGAAAGGGCTGTCGCTCGTGCATCAACACTGCTGCGACAAGCGATCGCGGCGCGTCCAGATCTACCAAGACGCAGCCGTGGCTACCTATACGGCCAGCGCCATGGAGCTCGCCTCGATGCCTTGCATCCCAGAGCATTTCTTAGACCATTTTTTGCCGAGCGAAGACGGGCTGCCCGTTGCGGGGCTTGTCACGAAGCGGCTGCAGCCCATTCACATGGGACCCGACTCGTTTCAAATCGACCACGAGTTTCTCTGGGGCGCGGGCTGGGTCATCTTGCATGGTATCTACGTGGTGCGCCAAGACGACCTGCCGCGGATCTTCACCAACGTCGTCTTCCAGGCGAGCATCTTCAAGGTCCACTGCTGCCTCCTCGCGACGCGACCGGGCCCCCCCTGTCGCGTCATCTTGGAACCGGACCTCACGACGCTGCCGTATTGGAACCTTTCGTGGCGCAACCTCAGCCATCTCTCGCTGCGGTCGGCCTCCGTCTTGCTTTCGAAAAAGGCGGGAAACGAAGAGCCTTCGAGCAGTACGAAGGGCCGCTTCGAGTCGGCCAAGCGCAGGACGCTCACCCAGCGCCTGAGCACCAAGAAGAACATGTATGCATAACTACATAATATCCGTTTCAGACGTCGCGTTGTCGATCATCCCATCACACCCAAGCATTGCCACGTCGCATTGGGACCAAATCCAGCGACCAGCTCGAGCTAGGACCGTGCTGAACATCACAGGACAAGCTGTGAGCATCGGCCTTGTCGGCTCTCCAGACGGGCGCCGGGACGACAAGCAAGACGCCTTCAAGCAGAACGACGTGCATATCGGTCGTCGCACCCTCAAATTTCACTGTTTGTCGCTGGACGGACATGTTGTTTGGTGTGTCCTTTTCCAGGAACGATAATGACAGTTTGAGCTACTCGCCGTCGTCTTCGTCGTCTTCCTCGTCGGGCGCGGGATCCTCTTGTGCGCTCTCTTCGTGCGTCGCATCACTGTCGCCGTTGTCCTCCGACTCGGTCGTCGGGATGACCGCCGTCTTGATCGACGAGCCATCAATGTTGCGGTGCTTGAGGACGCCGGTGGTGTACGCGTCCATGACGTTGTTTTCGCGCGCGAGCTTTTCGCCACCGTAGATGACGCGCTCGAGGAGCTTCTTCATCTTGGGCACGTGCGCCGCCGCCGATGCATCGAGCGTCGACTTGCCGTGTGCGCAGAGGATCTGGAGTTTGCGCGTGCCGCCCTGGACTTCAAGCATGATCTTGAGGATACGTTGGCTGTGGCTACGGAAATGCGCCTCAAAGAACGGCATCGCTCCGAGAAGGTTCTCGATGAAGCCACTCGCATGCTTGAGGACGGTTGCAATGATCTAATTTGCTCCGTGAATACAACTAGACGTTGCCACAGAGTTGTGTCGTACCGGGCCCGATTGGAAGCTCTTGGTCAAGCCGACGAGAAATTTGAAGAGGAGCGCAGCTTGCGTGAGGTAGTGCAATACCACGGGCACGTCGTTGGCACCCGGTGAAAAGTCCAAGCGCGACGTGGCCTGCACGAGCGTCTCACAGCACGCACGGAGGTGTACGCCGACCGTCTTCTTGTCTAGTTTCATTTCAGCAACGGGAATAATTCAAGACTCCAAAACGTACTCAGCGTTGGGTACGTCTCGGCGGCAGCCGATGGGTGCTCAAGAAGGTTGCCGAAACCGTGAATTGCGAGCTCTTGGATCGCATCGAGTGGCTGCCCCGAGTTGTCCAAGAAGGCGTGAAGCACCATCGAGACATCGCTCGGCTTGTAGTTGGCCTTGGCGCTGGCCCACCAATTCTTCTTGAGCATATCGTGGGCGAGTTCCCCAAGACGGTAGTCGCCGTCTTTGTTCCCTTTCGAGGACGAGAAAAGGACTCCTTGCGGTTGTCGACCACGGCCTTGCGACTTCTTGAGCGCCTCGAGCGTCGCAAGCGCCCGTACAAAGTGCAGCCCGACCTCCAAGTCGTCTTCGATTGCACTCGACTGCTGAAGCTCAAAGAGCACGCCCATCATAGCCTTGATGGCCTATACGCGCTGATGAGATGGCTGTACGCATTACGAGATATATGCATGGTACACACCTGGAATGCACTGCTTCCGGTCATTGGCTGGGGCAAGATGAGGTCCATGAGAACGTCGATTTGGACTTGCGGTGCCTCTTGCTGGCGAAACACGTCACTGCTGCCGAGGAGGTCGATGCACTGGAGGTACATGATGACGACCTGTCGTAAACTTTCGTCCGCGTCCACGTCCGTGTCGATGGACGCCAGCGCCCAGCGCGCATTGTCTTGACAGCGGCGAGCTTGGGCTGCAAATGCGCCGAGAAGAGCTCCAATCCGCGCTCGTGCTCGATCACTCGGTGCTCGAGGATTGGGCGGGATCGGTGCGTCACGGCGCCGGCCCAGAACCCCGGCGACGCGTGCACTTTGGCCACCGACGTCTTCAAAAACTCTTTGAAGTGCGAGAGGAGAAACACAAGCGACGGTGGGTCAATGCAGCCTTGGTCTTCTTGGGTATCAGGAAGGATGCTCATGACGCTGGGGTGCAATGGCGCCAGCGAGCGCAGTACGAGCTTGAGCTTGGCCTGCGACGCCGTCGCACTCACCGACTGTTTTCCTTTGCCCTTCTTGGTCGTCGCAGCAAGCGTCTTTTGGCTCTCCTTCGTGCCCGCGCGGTCAGCGATGGTCGTCACATCGACACCTGGTGGCACCCACGTGTTCGGCGGGAGGTTGGTCACGATCTCAAGCAGCATCGACTCGAACTGCACTGCGTTCTCGAGGCGTGCCATGACTTTGGGCCGCAGCGTCACATCGGCGCAAAAGCAGTTGAGGAGATCGCGGCACCAGTTGACGGCGTACCAGAGGCAGAGGCAGATCGCTTCTTGCACGGGGGTCTTTAGCTCGTTGACGTCTGACAGGATGCTCTTCCTAGTAGGGGCGTTTAAAGGGAAGCAATAAGGAGCGTGACGTACTCCATGAGCATGATGGGGCACACCAGCACCGTGCCAATGCTTTCGAGGCCATCGAGCCGCTTGGAACAAGAGACGACGAGGTGCAGGAGGTTGCAGAGGTACACCAGGTGCTCCTTGTCGGACGTATCGCTGGACGCAATCAGATTCATCAAGTCCAGATAGACGAGTGACTAGCATTGGGCATGAAGATATGGCCCATATGAGAGCCTTCTACCTGGCTGTTGAGGATCGCCCAGAGCTCGGTCCGGAACGCACCCCCCATGACGGCGAGCTTGTAGTCGCCGTTCCGGTGGCGCGAGACTTCGAAATTGGGCAAAAATTCAGTCGCGAGGACGTCCGAGTAGCAGTCCGAGATGACTTGGATCGCAGTCGTGTTTTGCGGAATCCGGCACACGAGGTGGTTGAGCTCCGCGTACATGAAAGCGAGGCACTTGGGCTGCTTCCGACACGCGTCCCGCAGCGCCTCCATACCATCTCGCAGTTTGCGCACAAACAGCTGCTGCATCGGCGACTCGTAGCTATTGTCTTCGGTGCTCTCGATCGAGCTCGCTTCGGCGCCTTTGATGATCTCTTCTTCAATGACACAAATGTACCCAATCATGCCGAGCTTCCGGTACTGGTTGTCTTGGTGGTAGAGCTGCTTGCGGATTGTGATCGCAAGGTCTGCGTCGGTCGTCCCACCGACGTGCACGAGCAGCTGGTATACGTAGCGACACTGCTCGACCGTGAACGTATCAATGTAGTCGAGGAGCTGCTTGAGGAGCGGAAGGAATGTCGCGAGGCAGCCCGGCGCGTGGTCGAGCAGCGCCAAGAGCGTCTCCAAGCCCGAATCCACCGTCTTGGGCGACGCCGTCACGCAGAACCCGAGCACGGTCGTGACCATCTAGTTTAATACATCTCTTTCAACCATTTTGGATGCATATGATCAGAGTAACCTCGGATTGGTACGTGTAGGCGTGCTGTGGCCGGCCGCTGGCTTCGTGGAAGAGCAGCTGCAGCACGTAGCTGCCCATGTCGCGCGCATGGGCGTCGGGCGATGTGAAGAAGACGTGGAGGAGCTGCAGGAGGTTCTTGAAGAACGGTTCGAGTGCCCCGAGGCGTCCGACAATGGCGGCCCGGAGAAGCTCCTTTGTGAACAGCCCCGAGACGACCTTCTTTTTGAGAATGCTCTCAACCTTGGGGCGGACATGCAGGAGCGTATGGAGCCCAAGAAGGCCCCAGATGTCGAGGAGGAAGTGGTGCTCGGCCGTCTTGATGCTGGTCACCATCTTGAGAAACGCGTTCATAAAGTCGGTTCGGAACGTCATGCCCTGGACAAACTGCTGCAGAAGGAGCGCTTCGTCATTTGCAGTCGTCTCTTGGAGCGACGACGTGATGCATTGGCTGAGCTTCTCCCGCATTTGACTGAGGATCACGACGATGTTGTCGGGCGACGACGCTTGCACGAGGAAGCGTACGAGGGCGGGAGGTCCTCGACCGACGACGACGAGAGCCGATTGAGGATGCTCGCGACCACGTCCTCAAGCTGGTACGCGGGAATGTTAAAGTTGCTGAGGGCCTCGACGGCCGCAACAACCAACGTCGACTCGCTGCTAATGATCTCGAGGAGCGCGTCCACCGCCATCTACACGCAAAGGATCGTCTTATGGCATCTTCCTCATGATATTGTACCGAGAAGTCGGTGTCGGGCACGAGCTCGGGAAGGATGTGGATGATGTCCTTCTGGAGCGACGTGGGAAAAGTCGGCAGCGTCCCGACGAACTTTTGGACGAGCTCGGACGGCGCAGAGATGTACTCGATCCAGCGGATATGGCGCAGGATGAGGCCACAGACCGCCGACGACATGATCGACGTCTCGAGTTGGTGCGCATGCTCGCTGAGCACCTCGAGGAGGAGGTCGATGAGCGGCGTCTGGATCGCATCGAGGCGCAAGAGGATGCGGATGAAGCTGTCGCTGTCGTCGTACACGGTCAACATGCGCTGGAGCGTCTCGGGTGCGCCCGTGAGGGCCTCCAAGTCGCGGAGCGCGGCTTCCGGCGCGACGCTCTTGACCGCCCGCTCGACGGCCGTCGCCGCTTCCTCGCCCGACGACGAGCCGACAAACATGGACATGTCCCCGCTGGGAAGCTCCTGCGCTTGCTCCTTCTCGGCCCAGAAGGCTTCCCATGCTCCTTCCATGCCTTGGCGCTGGCCCATGCTTCGGCGTCGGTCCATCTCGGCGCCGGACCCCACGGTAGAATATTCGCGCGAATATCCACCAACACGAACACACTATTCCGTGTCAGTATATATTGCACGTAAATCGTGTATTAAATATTGGAGTACACAGAAATAATGTATGACTCTTGTGTGACTGCGCTTGCAGGCGCAACCGCGACGTTGGTACATACGGACGAGCATGCTGGGTACAGTTGAGAACACACTCTCACGAGCTGAGGGACTCGGCAAAACAAAACTCGATTCCTCTGCTGTGCCCAGCATATATTCAATCGTCCACATGAGCGCGCTGTGGTATGCCAATATTTCATGGCGCTCGAATATCGAAGCGCGATTGCGCGGGGAAACGGCAGGTATCCGGACGAAATCCGGTCGTTTCACCGGGTTTCCGGATACGAACAACGTGAAAACGACCTGGGTGATTGATTTAGAAGGAAGCCGCAGAAGCCGGACGATCGACGACGCATGAACCAGCTTCGGCGGCTCGCGAGCTACGTCGTGGACAGCAGCCAGCACCTCAAGCCGACGCTCAAGCACATGGAGCCTAGCTACAAGCACCTCGACCTGACGTATGTGTCCCCGCGCGTCCTCGTGGGCGGGCGGCCGGTCGACGGGCCGACGGACAAGAAGGCGTGCGTCAACAACGCGGTCGAGCTTAAGATGTACCTCGAAGACGAGCATGCGAACCGGTACTTGATCTTCAACCTCTGCGACGACGAGGTTGCAGCGATTTCGCCGCAGACGCTCGAGTTTTCTTGGGAGCGCGACGGCGGCCTGCGGACGTACACGCCGCCGTCGGACCACATCTTTCGCATCTGCTACGCCATCTTTGCGTGGCTCGCGCTCGATCCCGAGAACGTCGCCGTCATTTACTGCCACAACGGCAAGACGCGCAGCGGCGTCGTCGTCGCGTGCTACTTTCTCTTCTCGCGGCTCGTCGACGACCCAATGACGGCCCTCGCGCAGTTTTACCAAAAACGGCTTGGCATCGAGACGCTCACGCCCGACTACGTGCGCCGCAGCATGCCTGTCTCCATCCAGCGGTACGATATTGTCTCTTCCTCGAGCCTAATGCATATATGCTCTCTTCGTAGCTTTGTCACCAACTTTGGCTCGATCATGGAGCACCAAGCGATCCCGAATCCGGACCCGCTTTTGCTCAAGGCCATCATGTTTCGCGCGCTACCCGTCGAGCTCCAGCCGCTCATTCAGATCTGGGACGACTGGCACCTCATCTTCTCCAACGCCAAGGACGCCGTGAGCGACCACGTGCCGCCGGTCGTCGACTGGAACCCCGAAGATGGCTTCCTCGCCATCTTATGGGACGGCGGCATCCCGCTCGACGGCGGCTTCTCCATCTTGTGCTCGTTTGGCGACGACGGCGACGCCGAGATGGACGCAACGTCGCGCGTCCTCTTCCGGTACATGGACTCGACATGGTTTCTCTCGCCGGGCCTCGTCACCCTCAAGAAGGCCAACCTCGACATGATGAAGCAGTACGAGCACGGCTTTGAGGACGAAAACTTCTCGGTCGACATGGTCTTCCACAACAGCAACGTCCCGCCACGGCTCATCGTGCCCGTCGACTATACCGGCAACTACGCAGTCAAACAAGGCATCGTCGAGATCGCGGCCAAGCACGCGGTGGCCCCCGATCCGTCCATGTACCTCAACTTTGTCAAGACCGGTTTTGACGCGACCGCGTCGACGTATGCGCTCCAGCGCGCGCAGAATGCACCCAATCTGGCACTCGACATCTTGCACTCGGAGGCGCTGACGACCATCTTTACGCGGCTGCCGCCGAGCCCGACGTCGCGCGACGAGAGCCTTAGTCAGCCGGTGCACGAAGACAGCATCAAACCCTCGTCGCTCTTTGCGTCGTCAACTCCGCACAAAGCGTCGCATTCGGAAGCACATCGGAGAGCCTCGTCGTCGTCGTCGTCGTCGACCTCGCCGCGTGCGGAAACGCTGGTCGTGACGCCGCCCAAAGGGTTTTCGGTGCCGCGCGCGACCGAACCGAGCCCGTCGTCGCGCCGATCGAGCGCGTCGTCGAGCTACCACGACGCCGAGCCTGACGGCGACTCGGTTTGCGTGCTCTGCCACGAAGAAGACTATGTGCTCCGACCACAGTTGGTCCGCTGCTGCGGGTGCCAAAAGTGCTTCCACACAAGCTGCGCGGGCTTGAAGAAGGTGCCGTTCGGACTCACAACGATGAGCGACCGCACCAACCACGCGGCGTACATGAAGAAGTTCTTCCACGGCTGGCGCTGCACCGCCTGTGCGGCCGCATCCTCACCATCACGGGCACCGACAACGGGGGGGTTCCTCACCGAGCCAAAGAGCCCCAACCACGACAAGTACGAACAGCTCAAGGAGCTTCTGTCGGCCAAAGGCATCTCAATGGACGACCTCTTGCGCGCTGCCGACGCCAACCTCGTCAAACCACCGTCAGACGGCCACGACAGGACGACGAATGACGCGCTGGACGTCACGGACAAGTACAAACGCATGGTCGACATGGGTGTACCCCTCGCCGCTGCGCAGAACGGGATGCTGCGCGACGGGCTCGACCCGGCGTTGCTCTACGGATACACGGCACCGCCGGTCGTCGCACCGGCCGCTGCCCTAGCCGAGCCCGTGCTCATGCTGCGCGACGCAATCCAGTTTGAGGGCTACTTTACAATGCTCTCGAAAGGCATCTCGAAAGACGCGGTCAAGCACAAGATGCGCATGTGCGGCTTGAACCCCAAGATCCTCGACCTCGACCCAAAGGCATCGTACCTTGAAGTCAAGAGCCAGATCGAAGCGCTCCAAGCCGAAGTTATTTATCCGAGCGGGTCGCCGCCCAAACCGTCGTCGGCCAAGTCCCCACCAAAGTCGGCCCCCGCGACGTTCGTTGTCCCTGACAAGGCATCGACCGATTCGTCAACAAGCACAGCAACATCGGCGACGACGACCATGGTAGCGCCGGCAGCGGCTGTGGACGCACCCGCTGCTCTGCCACCATCCAAAGAGACTGCGGAGGCACCGAATCCCGCGGCAGCTGCGTCGGAGCAGCAACCGGCGGCAAGCGATGGCCCTCTGCGCCTGCGAGACGATGCGACCTATGGCAAGTACTTCAAGATGCTCAAGATGAACATCCCAGAAGGCGCCGTGCGACAAAAGATGATTGAACACGGCGTCAACGTCAAGGCTCTCGAGCTCGGGCCAGACGGCTGTGTCGACGACCTCGATGCTCCCCCAGCCAAGGTATTATTGAAGGACGATGCGACGTACGGCAAGTACTTCAAGATGCTCAAGATGAATATCCCAGAGGGCGCTGTGCGACAAAAGATGCTGGAACACGGCGTCAACCCCAAGGCACTGGAGCTCGGACCGGACGCGAGCGTGGATGACCTCAACGCTCCTCCACCAAAAGTCCTACTAAAGGACGACCCGACGTACGCCAAGTACTTTAAAATGCTCAAGATGAACATCCCGGAAGGCGCGGTGCGACAGAAAATGATTGAGCACGGTGTCAACATCAAGGCGCTTGACCTCGGGCCCGACGGCTGTGTTGACGATCTCGTCGTCAAGGTTCTCCTCAAGGACGACCCGACGTACGCCAAGTACTTCAAGATGCTCAAGATGAACATCCCGGAAGGCGCGGTGCGGCAAAAGATGCTGGAACACGGTGTCAACCCACGGGCATTGGAGCTCGGGCCGGACGCCTACGTGTCGCAGCTCGACGCCAACAACAACACGAGCGATGCGCCGCCGCCTGCGCCCAAGAAGCCCGCGCGCCGCAAGAAGCTCTTTTGGCAGCCGATCCCGGATGACCGACTCAAGAGCGGTCATCAGTCAACGATCTGGGAGGCCAAGGGCGACGACGAGATTCAACTCGAGATGGACATGGACGAGATCGAGTCACTCTTCTTCGCCAAGGCCGACAGCAAGACCAAGAAAGCGGCCGCCAAGCCCCTCGCACGCAAGCAAGCCGTGACGCTCGTCGACGGCAAGCGCGCCATGAACGCTGCGATCGCACTTGCGCGCATCAAGCTCACGTATGCGCAAGTGGCCGCAGCGATTGGATCGCTTGACGCGTGCGGCTTGACGCTCGAGCAGCTCGTGACCATCAACGAGTACCTCCCGACCGACGATGAAGTCAACGTCGTGACACGCTACGCCGGCGACCCCACTGCCCTCGGCGAGGTTTGGCAACACCCGTGTATGTACCCCGGGGCTCACCCATCGTTTTGAATCTTAGGCAGAAAAGTTCTTTGCCGCGATCGCGACCGTGCCCCGGTACAGCCTCAAGATGGAGTGCCTCATCACGAAAAGCTCGTTTCAAACGCGCGTCGCCGAGATTGACGCGTCCGTCACCAACGTCACGCGCGCTTGCGATGACGTCAAAGGCAGTCGATTGCTCAAGCTCCTTCTTGGCATGGTGCTCAAGCTCGGAAACACGCTCAACGGCGGCGAAGAGACGGAGCACGCAATCCGCGGCTTCTCGGTCGACTCGCTTCTCCGCCTCGGCATCACGAAAACCGTCGACAACAAAACCACAGTGCTCCATTACCTCGTCCGCGTCATCAAAAAGAACCAGCCACTCGTTCTCGACTTCGCAAAAGAGCTCGAGCACGTGCCGTTGGCGGCGCGCGAGGCGACCGAAGCCATTGACCAAGCCCTCTCGAGTCTCTCCAGCAGCGTGCAAAAGCTAGCGGATGAGCGCGACCGCGTCAAGACCGAAGGCGTCGAGGTGTGTCTCTTCCCTTCTCTTGCCCTTTTTAACGACATGGGATAGAGCTTGCTAGCGACATACGAGGCGTCGGTGGCGGCGACCGAAGCCGATTTACGCCGACTACGGTCCGGCGTCGACCACATGAAGGCGCAGATTGCGGCCGTACTCGACTACTTTGGCGAAGATCCGGCCAAGAAACCGGCCGACTTTTTCCAAACGCTCTCGTCGTTTTGCCAGGTGCGACGCAACGTCGACTCCACTTCGACTCAGCGGCTTTTCTCTAGGCATTTGAGAAGGCCAAGACCGAAGTGCAAACAGCCGACGATGCCAAGCAGCGAGCTGACCGACTCCTCCACCGACGCACGTCGAGCAGCATCGACATGACGATTCCGTCGCGCCTCCTCGAAGAGAAAGCCGCGGGGATGCGCCAAAAAGCCATGACGTTCCGAACCAAGAGCACGAGCCTGACCGATCTATGAGAATGGCGACATGTGTGATTTCTATCTGTACGTGCTTCCATCGCACGATGCTAGGTAGACAACGAGGCTGAGGAGGAGCACGATGAGCTGGTTGCGGGCGTCCGCGGCCACCCATGTCAGTAGCGACCCCGCCCGCGCACGGTCCGAGACTTGATCGTCGTACTCATCGTCGGCGCGCCAGGGCTTGCGCATCGATGCGTCGTCGTCCTCGTCGTCGTCCTCGTCGTCGTCCTCGGGCTCGTCATACGTGGCAGCGTCGTCCGAGTCGTCGGGGACAATATCGCGGCGGCGCGATCGCGGCAGCGACAGCGGCGGCATCGCAGCGACGTCTTCCGGAACGATGGCGGCGGCCTGGCGGAGGACGTCGAGCCACTCGTTGCCGTCGTAGACGCTGTCGACGCGCAGCACCCAGCTGTCGCCAGTCGGGAGAGAAATGCGAAGGAGCACGCAGATCTGGCTGAGCTTCCGGAGCTCGACGCGCATGTCTTCTTGTGACGAGACGTCGTCGATATGGCAGTCGGAGATGACGAACGCGTCGCGAGGCTTGACACTGTCCTTGCGGCTGAAGAGTGAAAACACCACACCGTCGAGACGGCACCAGCGCCGCGACCAGCGCATCATCATCTTGCGGCGCTGGTTGTAGACGTGCACATACCCGACCTTGACGCGGTTGGCCGGCGTCAACCGGTCATAGTTTTCCTTGAGCATCGCAATTTCGTCGTGGTACGTATGGACCGAGTCGGCTTTGGCATGGTCGAGCAGGTACGGCAGCCGCTGCATCAAGCGCGCCCGCGCCGCCACCTACAATATCAATGTATCAATCTATCCGCCGACAAGAGAATCATATATCGGACATCGGGGGTGCTGTAGCCGTAAAAGAGGCTTTGGAGGGCCGTGCCGACCGCTGTCTGCGCCGCTTTCGAGAGCGTGGGGTTCGAACCACCGACCTCGATTGCACCGGCGCCGACACTCACCGAGAAGCTGCTGTCCGCGTGGACGTTGAGCAAGAGGAGCTCGCCAGCGTCGAGGCGCGGCGGCAGTGACGCAAACGCGTCACAGATGCTCTTGGTGTCGTCGAGGAGGTGCGCCGACACGAGCAGCGACGTGAGGAGGTCGCAGACACTCGCTAGCACCACCGGCGTCGCATGCACGATCGCGAGACGCTTCCGGAACGCGCCGGTCGTAAAGGCGACCGAGAAATCAGGGTCCGCGGCGACGCTGCCAAACGAGAGCCCTTTGAAGCGCAGGAGGTGGGCGCTGGCTTGGACCGGGTCAACGTACAGCCCGACCGAGTAGTTGGCGACTTGAGGAACGTTGACGCTCGACCACGTGCCGAGGAGGACTGCACCATCGCCGAGGCTGCCGGGAAAGAGCTGGCTCGAGTCCGGGTCCATGAGCGGGCCAAACGGAAGGCTTTTGCGCGGCGCGAGCACAGAGTGCGCGTCTTCTTCGGGCGCGACACCCTCATCTTCGTCGTCATCGTCGTCGTCGTCGTCATCCTCGTCATCGTCTTCGTCATCGGCTTCGTCGTCATCATCATCGTCGTCTTCGGCAATCGGTGCCATGTCGCCCGAAGGCCGAGGCACCGCAGCAGCCGTCGTGCTGCCAGTAGTATTGCCCCAGAGACACGGGAGGCGCTCGACGAGACCCCGCTTGGCGAGGACCTGGACCGAGTTGCTATCGAAGAAGAGTCCTTGCAGCGCTCGAGAGAGCGCGGGGGCAGCAAGGCACGGGTGCGAGATGCCTTTAAAGTGAAAATCGAGCAGTCCCGGCGACGGCAAGAAGGTGCAGATCATGCTTTCGCCCTTTCGCAGCGACTTGTCGATGAAGGACACGAGTTGTTCCAGTTCGTGGACCGCGGCCCCAATACGCGGGCGAACTTCATCGTGGAGCGCGGCAACAATGCCGGCGCGCGAGAGTCGCTTCCGACAAGAGAAGACGAGCGTCTTGCGCACCGGCGATCGCATGAGCGCAGCGTAAAAGCCTTGGTCGTCGATGAGACTCTGCAGCGGTGTGTCGTGAAAATGCGCCAACAAGCTGCGCGCCTCGATCGGGTCGATGTACAAGGCGACGGCTAAGATCGGCTCGTCGTTCCAGCGCACACGGCGCACGAACGGCCCAACGCCGAGGAGTACGTCGCCGGTCGCTCGGAGCTTGGCGGGAAACTGGACGGCCGAGAGGGTCTCGATCATAGGACCAAAGGTCTTGGCGGTGGCGACGGCGTCGCAGTGGCGCGGCTGCTGCCATAGCGTCTTGTCGGTCGAGATGTTGACACTGGCCTTGTCAAGGACTGCGCCCCAATGAGCCACGAACGCATCAACCCACTTGTCGCGGTCGGCTTCGTTCTCGGCGGCGAGGAAGATCTTGTCGTCACGGACGCGCAGGATGAAGCCATGCGGCTTGGGCGACTCGAAGAGACTGATCGTAATGTCTACGGCAGAGGCATGAGCGCGTAGCCTCGGCGGGCGACATACCGGCGGCGGTCGGCACGCCGCCTGTCGGGCTCACGCGGAAGTTCTCGCTGCGCTTGACACCGCGCGAGTTGAAGAAGAGCAGCGTGTCTTTGTCCAAGTAGACCTGCCGACCCTTCCACGTGTGGAACGTGCGGTCGCGCCGGAGGAGCCGGCCCTGGACGAGCCATGTGCTTGTCGCCATCCTGGGCAAGTCGCGTAATGCCAAACCGCCGTCGCCGATTGGCCGGTACGTTGACCAATCACACGCGAGACAGAAATATTCAAAGTGAGAGGTGCGTTAAATAGGTTTTTACAGGCGTGGAACATCGTTCGATGCTGTAGAGTCACTGCTTGTGATGAAATAAGCGAGTGGGGGCATGGAGGCACCATCGAAGGGATGCCATGAGGTGACGTGGACGACAAGGCGATGAAGGAGCGACGTGTGGGAGAGTCCAGCACCCTGTAACACCACTCGGCGCCGTTTTCGTCTACATTTAACGCGTTTTTTGCCAACAAGTTGGAACACTGTCAAACTCGATATTGCACCTTGCCCGTGGCACGACCATGGCGCTGCCGACGGAGCTCCAGAACCTTGTCGTGCTCCTCTTCACGTGCGGGCTCGGGCTCTGGGCAGCGCGGCTCGCGTTGCTGCTCGTCGACCTTGCAGCCATGCGCCGGTCTGTCCAGAAGCGCAACGTACAGCCTGCATTCCATATCTCCAATTGTACCTCACCGACAGGCTAGGTCATTTACCTGCCCGAGCTCGGCCCGAGGTACGTTTGTCGTGGCGTCATGGCGCCCATCTCGATCCTTTTAGCTTGTCAATTCTCGAGCAAATGACGACGCAGCGGCTCCAGCAGTATCTGCGCACGCAAGACCAAGTGAATAGCTTCCACATGACCAAGGTCGACGCGCCCTTTGACGTCGTGTCCAACAGCCTCCGCGTCACGCACGGTGCGCTGCTGCTACCGCTCGCATATTGCTATAGTGTTGTGTGGTAGAGGACGGGCGTATCGGTCTCTCGTTCGACTTTCAGGCGTCGCGCGCCGGCTGCTCGATCGAGACGTACTGGGGCGTTGACGCCACCGACTTTAACGAGACGACGCCTGCGACGGCATCCAAGCGGCCTACTCTCGCGCGCCACGTGCAGCAAGCGTGGTCGTCGTTCACGCGGCGGCGGCAAAACAGTGATGACAAGGCCGAGCGACGGGCGCTCAACTCGATGCCGTCGTCGTCGTCGCCGACCGTACCGCCGGCGCCAAGCTCGCCACCTCCGGACGATGCCATCGACTTGACGCCCATACCAGATGCGACCACTGCGACAGCACCAACGTCGGTCGCGACCACGTGGATGGACGATACGCCGGCGTCGTACCAAATGAAGTCGTCGTCGCTGCAGTACGCGTGTCGTTGTGTCGACTCGTGTCGACGATCTTGGCGTAGGTTCCCGCCCGAGAACACGGGCGCGTACCGCCTCAAGACGTACACGCTGCCGCCCGTGTTCCCATTACCGGCCGATGCGTCGGTTCTCGTTGTCGCGATTGTGTTTAAAGTGTCGGCGCCAGAGCACGTCGTCGTCGTCAGCGACGGGCGCACCGACCCGATCGTCTCGGAAACCATCTTTGTCGATGTCGCGTTGCACAAGTCCCCGAGCATTACCAAGCGCATCTATTATACACAAAGCGGTCGTGTCCATCTCGCCCACGTACGTCTTCGTTTGGATTTTCTATTCGGGACTAGACTGGACGAATCTTGTCCATGTGTAGGAGCTCTACGGTCTCAACGACTTTGTCGAGTGCTCGATTTGCCTCGAAGACCCGACGCGCGTCATCATTTTGCCGTGCCGCCACTGCTGCGTCTGTCCGACGTGCCTCAACGAGATCGAAACGTGTCCGATCTGCCGCACCAAGTTCAACGCGTACATCACGATGGACCCGGACACGTCGACGGCCCTTGCGGCCATCCTCCCGACCAGCTCGGCGATTGTCTAAGCTAAGAGCAAAAGAATATCCTGGTTCTTATTGTACGAGTGTTGTTGGTGCCACAGAGTCCTATCAACGAGTTTTTTATTACCGAGTGTAGCTCTAGAGTGATGAAGAACTGCGCATGGTAAAATGATGGTTGCTTGGCGAGCGCCCACGAGTAGAGTCGACGACAATACCGGCCTCTTGCGCTGTCTCGCAAACTTCTTCTTGCAACGCGGCAGACAAGGAAATCACGCGGACGTCGAGCGTCACGTTGGTGCACGTGGCGAGCGCCGAGAGCAAGTTCCTGACATCCTCGGTCGTCACCAGGTTGATGCTGCAGCTGATGGTGCATGGTCTTGGTGCGTGGATTTCTCTGACGGCGTCAGCCAGCATCTCAGAACTTACCACGCTGTCCTCGTCAAAGACGATACGACGCACACCAGCAGCGAGGCAGCGCCGAATCGCGTCTTGAACCATGTCCGGTCTCTCGCTCATGAAGGAATCGGAGCCTGACCACGTGATAGTCTCGAGTTTCGGCGACCGGAGGACCCACTTGAGCACAGCAGCGAAACTTGACCCAGTCCAATCGATGAAATGAAAGTCAGCGCTGCGAAGCATCAATGGACTCGTCCGCATCTGGTCAGCGTATCCAACGTTGACGTGGACGAGACGGAGGTCGGTGAGCGCCACGAGGGAAGGCAGGATGGTCTCAAAGAAGTCCAAGTTGTTGCCTGGGGCGTCGCGAAGGGTGAGCTTCTGGAGCTTCGACAGGTTGAGCAGCGGCACGAGCTCACGTAATGGCGTACCAGTTGACGTGATGCTGAGGCCGAGGTCAAGCTCCGTGAGGTGCGTCCACGCAACGCCATTTGAAATGATGGTCTCCACGACGGCAGGCGAATCTGTCAAGCACAGATTCGAGAGCGTCGATGCCGCCAGCGCCAGCGCTTTGCCGAGACCTGCGTCGCCAGTGCTGAAGCCAACGAGGCTCAAGCGTCGCGCGTGGCCCGACGCAAGCCAGCGCTCAATGATCGGCGCGGCGTCGAGTGGGTACTCTGGACTGTTGCTGCGGTGTTGGAGCTCAAGGTCCTGGACGCAGTGGGCCGGCGTCGTCATGGCTTCAAGCACGTCGACCGCATACGGAAGCTGCACGGTGTGGAGGCTCGTGCACACGCGCAGCATATGAAGGAACGCCTCCTGATGGCGTCGCCCAAACATGCGAAATGATGCGCACGTGGTGAGTTTGGTCACCTTGGCCGCCCAGTGAGCGACAAAATGAACGAAGGGCACTACGACGTCGTCACTGTCAATAGCTCCGTACGTGGGCCAGTGCATGCTGAGCGAGTAGCCGTCGACGCACACCGAGCCGAAAAGAGGCAGCGCCGTCACAAAGCGATCAATGTCGGCTTCGATGACGGCACTGAGGCGTGGCTGCGGCCAGAACGGAGTTGATTTCCACGTCTGTGTGTCTAAGAGCTCAAGAAGCGCCGCCAGCGGTGGCGTCAAAGCGGTTTTTGGCAGAGCGCAAATGAGCGACGCGACGTCTGTAGGCGATGGCGTGTACTGGACGATAGTGAAAAGGACGTCGGTGGCGTCGAGAAGCGCTCGCGTAGCCTCCATCCTTGATGCAGTCGACTCGTGCTTGGAGTCGCGGAAACGGTAATGACCATCTCGTGGATGTTTCGCGTTGAAGACCCACACTCAGGTCACTTACAAATTGTAAATGCAAGGATTGTGAGTTCCTGTCCCTACAAGTTGCACAACTGTTTATCCGGATACAGTATACTATACCCTGGCATTGAGACAACAACTAATCAACGGAGTATAAAACTGTATTTGAGCACTAAAGTGGTGACGGGCTGCGCGCAGTCCAGTAATGACTGTGCGCCAAGGGCCCGCCTTTGTAGTCGACGACGATACCAGCCTCTTGGGCTAGTTCGCCAATAAATTCTTGCAACGGGGCACAGTAGGGATACACATTTACGTCGAGCGTCACGTTGGTGCACGTTGCGAGCGCCGAGAACAAGCTTCTAATGTCCTTGGTCGTCTTCAGCTTGATGCAGCAGACGACGGTACATGGTCTTGGGGCGTGGATATCGCGCACGGCGCCAGCCAACATCTCGGAGCTCGCCATGAAGCCCTCTCGATAGACGACACGACGCACACCGGCATCGAGGCAGCGCCGGATTGCGTCTTGAACGGCGTCCGTGTCCGCTCGCATGTAAACATCGGCGCCTGACCATGTGATGGACTCGAGTGTCGGCGAGCGGAGGGCCCACTTGAGCACCGCGGCAAAGCTCCTCTTGGTCCATTTGACGTCATGAAAGTCAGCGCTGCGCAGCAGCAAAGGACTCGCGAGCATCGGTCGAGCGTGTCCGATATCGACGCAGTGAAGACGGAGGTCGGTGAGCGCCGCAAGGGAGGGCAGGAGGCTTAAAAAGCAGACGCTGTTGCCGGCTTGGACGTTTCGAAGGGTGAGATTTTGGAGCTGCGACACGTTGAGCAGTGGCACGAGCTTGCGCAGCACATTCCCCGTAGGCTTGTTGCCGAGGTCGAGGTCAAGCTCCGTGAGGTGCGTCCACGCAATGCCATTCGAAATGACAGTCTGCAAGATGGCGGGCGAATCTGTCAAGCAAAGATTCGAGAGCGTCGATGCTGCCAGCGCCAGCTCTTTCCCGAGACCCGCGTCGCCAGTCCAGAAATCAACAAGACCCAAGCGTCGCGCGTGGCCCGACGCAAGCCAGCACTCAATGATCGGCGCGGCGCCGAGTGTGTACTCTGGACTGTAGTACAAGTGTTTGAGCTCGAGGTCCTGGACGCAGTGGGCCGGCGTCGTTACGGCCTCAAGCACGTCGACCGCATACGGAAGCTGCACAGTGTGGAGGCTCGTGCACATGCGCAGCATATTGAGGAACGTCTTCCGGCTGGCCCCGTACTTTAACAACGCGGCCAAGGTCATGTGCGTCATTTTGGCGGCCCAGCGGACAACAAAATGAAAAAAATGCAGATCGTCGACGTCGTCACTGTCAATAGCTCCGTACGTGGGCCAGTGCTTGCTGAATGAGTAGTCGTCGATGCACACCGAGTTGAAAAGCGGCATCGCTGTCACAAAGCGATCAATGTCGGCCTCGCTGAAGCGACGGATGCGTGGCTGCGGCCAGAACGGATTTGTTTCCCACGGCTTGTCCGGTGTTATGAGCTCGAGAAGCGCCGCCAGCGGTGGCGTCAAAGTGGCTGGCGGCAGAGCGCGAAGGAGCGACGCGACGTCTGTAGGCGATGGCGTGTACTGGACGATAGTGAAAAGGACGTCGGTGGCGTCGAGAAGCGCTCGCTTTGCCTCCATCCTTGATACTGTCGACTTGTGCTTGAAGTCGCGGAAACGGTAATGACCATCTCGTGGCTGTGTCGAGTTGAAGACCCACACTCAGGTCATTTCCAAATTGTAAATGCAAGGATTGTGAGTTCCTGTCCCTACAACACCTCTAATTGTTGAAGTTCAATGCACACAGCCGCAATCAAGAAGGCAGAGTCCTCGTCGACATCTTTAGTCTAGCGGTATCGACACTGTTTCACCACCAGATAGACCCAGGTTCGAGTCCCGGAGAGGGTCCACTTTCTGATTGCCGCTATACAGCAGTGTGCACTAATACACTGTAGTACAACAAAAGGATGTAAAGCGAGCCGTACATGGAAAGAACGGCCATGTCACGAGAGAAAATCGAGGGAAGCATGGAAATTCGTCTTCGCTATCTGAGCACGCGTAATTCGTGATGACATCGTCGTCCTCGTCCGTCAACGCTTGTAGGTACCCCTCCAAACCATTGCCTCCAGACGCTGTGTTGGCTAATCTAGATTGATTTCAACGCCAACACGTTTGATTGATTGATAATCCAGATAGCGTAAAGTGATATATATTTGACAAGAGCAAGCTTTGGCGCGCACCGACAGACAAGTCCCTAATGCCTATCAAAGCCAAGGGGTACAATACCAGTACGTCCATGGCATACAACATGCAAGAGAACAACCGTACCGTACAAAGATTGTACTGTACGCGCATTGAAGTTGCAGGCCAGGACGCGCCGGCGCGCGCGACTGCTGGCGCCGACCCTTGGCCAAGACGAGCGGATGTGTTGTAACTCATTGCTATGGCGCTGCTTCTCGGGGCCTGCTTGCGGCTCCCGCGGGCCTCTGGCAACTTCAAGCGCTGCCAATCTTGCCGGGGTGAAATAAAGCGCCAATCACAAGTCGCCGGCGGTGGAATTTTATCCAATCCGTGACGTCTCGTCCGAAAGCGTGGCAAAAAGCCCATCAGTTCGAAAGATTCGCCGAGCCCAGCAGCAGCATGCGCAACGAGCGGCCCAAAAGCAAGGGCCGACTAGTCAAGCTCTATGTGCAAGCCGAGACGCCGCCCAGCTCCCAAGACAGCAGCTCCCAAGAGGCCGAGCTCAATGCGCTCGAGGCCGAGCACATGGCCTTGCTCAAGCGAGCCAAGATCCGCAACCTCCAGCTTGCCAACGCTGCGCTCCGAGAAGGACTTGCCCGAGGCGGCTACGTAGCACTCGGCCGAGGTCTTGCTCAGGACATCAATGCGGTACCTCGTGTCGCCAGTCCGCAGTCCGCCAACGACGAAGACGACGACGGAGTTGCACCGGACACCTCGGGGCCTCTCGTCGAGCCGGCCAACGATCAAGAAGCCGCAAGAGACGACGGCGGCGATGAAGGATCCAAGGAAGAAGCCGGCGGCAACGAAGAGGCGTCGCACGAGGACGTCGGCGGTGCGCCACTCAACAATCACCTTGCGCCACTCAACGACCATCTTGCAGTAGTGCCAGTGGTTGCCAGTCCTCTGGCGACCAGCGATACGGGCACCGATGAGGACGAGACCAAGCAAGACGACAGCGACGAGGACATTGCTAACGATGACATCGCGTCAGAACAAGGCGTTGAAGTGGACGTCGACGACGCTGGTGATGACGCTGGTGATGACGCTGGTGATGACGCTGGTGATGACGGCGACGACGATGAGGTTGCACCGCTGGGTGCCGGCGCGTCGCATCCGGTCGACAGTCCTCGAGCGACCAGCAATCAGGAAACCGATGAAGACGACAAAGTCAACCAGCAAGAGCCCGACAAAGACGCGTCTAGCCAAGGCGAGTCCGACGACCACCACCACCGCGATTCTCCAGAGCGCCATCGCAAGCGATCGCCGTCACCAACATCATCCTCGCCGCGATCCAAGAGACCACGCAGCACCCCGTACGTCCACAGCTCGTCCATCTACTCACCCTCTTTTACTCAACCTGCCGTTAGCTCTTCCCCCGACGACGACAACCAAGACGTCGGGAGCAGTCACGACGGGTCCCTCAGCAGCGACGCCGAAGCTGCCGAGACATCCAGCGGGTCGGCTCGACCTACAGTCCAGCGTATATGTTCACGCAATCAAGGTTGCGTAGCGTTGACGTCGCGTCGCCAGAGCGTCGCCGTGGACTTCCTCTCGTCGTCGACGACGACGTTGTGCGGTACTACACCGTTTCCTCGCTATCTGCAACATTGCACATGCATGCGTAGACTCAACACCAATACGGACGACGACGAGGCGCCTGCGCCGTACGGCGAAGAGCCTCACGACGAGCCCGACATTTTTGACTTTGGCGGCGGCGAGTTCGACGAAGCCCCTGTGAACGACGACGACGATATGATCCAGTACGCTATTCCATAGGCTTGGTTCCTATCGGACGTCGATGTAGTAACGACGAGGACGAGCCGCGTGGCATGGTCGTCGCCAACAAGGCCTTGGCAACCCCAGCGACGCTGCGCCGCCTCCACGAGGCGCTTCGCAGCTTGGACGCTCGCCGCGACGCGCACCTCGCCTCTCGTCCGCGCCGAGGCCGTGGCATCAAGATGGACATTAGCCAGCATTTGATTGATGTCGTCGTCCAGCGTGGAAGCATGATGGCGACCGACCACGTCGCCGCCGACGCCGACATGCACGAGCTTCTCGACGCACTCGCTTTGACGCCTCTGGACGAGGCGATCGCGCGCTTCATGGCCATCGCCGACGTGCTCCAGCGTCGGCAGTGGCTGCGCCGCGACGCCGCCTTTGGCGAGTACTTTCGGACCACCGTGCAGAACGGGACACAGTATCGCGGCGACCGGCGGGCCGTGGACGTCGACACTGGCCCGTGGGTCGCCCATCCTCTCCAGGTACATTATATTGTCTATTCCATGTACAATAATGTCTGATGGACAATACTGTCTATGCTAGCATGTGTGGAGCCACCTCCCGACCGCGATTTTTCCGTGGTGGACCGTGCGCGTGCACCCGTCGGACCCGGAGCCGCAGTCGATCGGCCCGAGCAATGCGTTCATGGTCGGCAACGAACAAGTTGTCTGTTTTCCTGTGGACGGACTCACGGGTCGCGTCATCTTCAACGCGCTGGCGCGACCGAGCCGCAGCAGCAACGCCGAGACCCGCGCCACGTCGGTCGAGCTCTTCCGCCTCACGCCCAACGACGCAGACGCCGATGCGATTCTGGCGCTCGCGCCATATTGGCTCGCTGCCATCCAGATGGAGCGCGCCGCACATCGCCAAGACGATCCGTGCCGCGTCGTGCCGCTGCCCGAAGTCTTTGATGTCCTCGAGCAAGCGGTCGAGACGTGGGTCGCCAACGCCCAGGCGCGACGGCGTCCGGGTGCGGCCGACCTCTCGATCCGCGACCAACTCGATCTCGTCCAAGCGTTGGTGCCATCGGAGCCATTGGACCGTCTCGACCTAAAGTACATGGGGCGCAGCGACGGCTGCAGCTTTGTGACGCGCGCGCGGTCGGTGCGCTGGCTGGTCTTTGACGTCTGCGCCGTGCTGGGCTGCTCGGCCAGTCGCTTGCACAAGCAGCGGTGTACGATCCACAGCCGCGACAACCTCACCGAGTGCGTTGTGGACAGCTGCGACGAGCTCGGCTATGGCGGCGAAGGCATGTGCACCCGGCACCGCGCGCTGCCGATTCCGGTCGAAGACGACGACTGAGCCGACGCAAGCCTTTTCTTACGCTTTTCTGTCTGCAATTTATGGACACCGACACGTCCGTCTCGTGGTGGCTTGGGCGGGCGAAGCAGCCATCTCCAGCATGCAGCAGAGATTAGGGTTACAACCGAGGAGGCAGAGGCCAAACTGTCGAGCACAACGCATCTCGATCGACGGGTAGTGCCGAAGCGCTTATGGCTGTCGAGAGGAGCCAACGACTATCCAAAAACGGAATCCTATCCACACCGTCCTATCCAATCGAGACCCCGTGCGCAGACGAATTTGACAAAACAACAATAACGCCCTCGAGTTGTCTGGGGTATCCAAGGCGACCTTAACTCGTCAAGGCATCGCTACCTTGTACGACGAGGACAGACGATATCGATACACGCAAGCTCGTCGATGCGATTCAAAGTCCGCCTGCGCAGACGATTCCGTGAGCTGGACGATCGTGACAAGCGCGTCGAGGACCGACGCCGGCGCGCGACTCGGTCGCTTGGCCGTCATCTCCTAGAACGTCCGTTGCCAGGTCGTAAAACGTAGATACTAGTAATTCCTACCTGCATGTCGGACATATTTCCCGTAATTCCTACCTCCAGATACGAATTCTCCAAAAGCGGCTCGAATGTCATCCAAACTCCGCCATGCATTGTCAGTCGTGCCAAGGGTACAACCCAACGGCTCTGGACCTCTCACTCTTCTTTGCCCGTCAAGCGTCCACGACGACTGTGCTGCGAGGATCTCACAAACCTACCCCTCCCTTGCAAGTCGACACATCACAAGAAATGACGTGTATGTACAAGCACGTTGGTTGCGTCGATACCAGGAAAGCGACAGCATCACGCGCGCTTGATCTTCCACGCCGACTTCTTCTCCGAGACCGCGTTGAGGAGGTACGGCCAGAACGCAGTCGGCCGACGGTCCCACGAGTTCATGACACCCGCGTACAGCACCGTGAGTGCATAGCCTACAGTACCAAATGCGTCGTCTCCTCTCCAATAGGCGCAAAAGTAGTGTACGTACATGGGACGACCGTGATCAGCAGCAGCGGCAAGATGAAGAACGAGACCAAGGCCGCGCCCCAGAGCCGGCAAATCGCCGTCATCGACGACTAGGCAACATGGACATGAGGATATCGACTCCATCCTGCAACAACTACGTACACAGGGAGCAATCACTTGGCGCGTTGCAGCGTGCGACACAAAGCTCTACACAGCAGACCCCCATGAGCATGGATACAACTATGGATCGATCCAAGGATTCTGGATGATACCTGGTTGGCAATAAACTCAGTGAGGAGCTTGTCCTTGGCGCGCCACTGCCGATCGAGGAACGCTTCGACACCGAGCGACTGGACGTCCTCGAACGAGAATTTCTGGCCGTGCACAAATACATCGTCCGGGCCGCTGCCAGCGACGAGCGATTTCATCGACGGGATGTCCGTGTCAACGTTGCGGCCATAGCCCATGGCAAAGGTTGGGACTTCGCCGCTGTACGAGGGATACGCCATCGTGAGGTCGTAAATGTCGGGCTTGGTCTGCGTCTCGTCGGACGAGAAGGCGTCCATCATGATCTGGAGGCCGGTCGAGCGCGGCAGCAAGAGGTGCTCGAACGTCGGTCGGTTGGTTTTTGCCGCAAACGCTTTCGACTTGGCGACATATTCCGTGTGGATCGTCGTGCCTTCGGGGAAGATGATCATCCAAAACGGAAATTGGTCTTGGAGAAAGCTCTGCATGTACTCTAAGCAACATGCATGAGAAGAAGTAGGCGGACAAAGATGCGGAGGCGAAGGTACCTTGGACGTGCAGCCGATCGTGCTCAATGTTGCGCTTCAAGAAGAGAAACTCAAAGAACTGCATGCCCCAGCCAATGATCGGAACGTGCTTGAGCTCGCCCTTGAGCGTGATCTTGACGTTCCCGGCGGCGCCTTGGAGCCGCGCCACTAGGAACCGCATGAGATCCTCGTGTATGCATGCTTCTTGCGCGTCGTACTCTGCCAGAGGTACCACCAGTCGGCGTCGACTTGGTGGTTGGCGAGGATGATCATGGGCTTTGCAATGTCGGTCGGAATGTCGCCGCTACAGACAGAGGCGACGTGAGGGCGGGTAGCGCATGCGGCCAAGGACAGTACGTGGCGACGATGTTGGCCTTGGGAAAGCTGCACGAGAGCACGTCGACCCACGCCTGCTGGCACTGCGCCCTAGCACATACGGATGAGGCATGCATGGCGCATGGCCAGGGACGCACCCCATGACCTTGCGGTACAGCGCGCGGTTGAAGGGCCGAATGGTCACGTAGATGGCGAGCTGGTAGAGGTTGAAGACCGCCGAGTTGCAGAGGATCCAGAGCACATGGAGCACGGACGTCGCCTGGACGATCATGATGGTCGCTGGCTGGCAAAAGCTCGAATGTTGATGATGTAAGCTGAAAATGTCGACTAGACACCCACCACCTGGTTTTGGAGGGCCACCCACCACAGCTTTCAGACGATTGTTAGGGGGACCTGCTGCGCTGCACGCCATGGTACCAGTCTCCTTCTACCAAGCCCCTTGTCTGGTCTGTTGGATACGCGTAGGAGCAGTCCGTGCGCTGCCTTAGTGAGGATAGAGTGGCATCACGTCACCGTGGATATGGGTCCTCCAAATATGGAAAAAGTAAGGGGGCCTACGAAAACGAAGCCAACACGGCAAGATCGTGTTCGAGAACCAGCTGGCGTTCGACCAATCGGCGGCCGCCAGCTTTGACTTGGCCCCACAAGATCGTAGTCGAGCGACCGCTCCAAGCTCACGACGTGGCAGGCTTCGGCACCATTCGGCAGCGGCGAGCCGGCTGGCGGTGGACGACCAGCGCTACGAGCATCGCCGGAGGTCGACATGGCAGCAGTTGCAGCACCTGCTCGTGGCTGCGTGGTCGCAACGCGGATGTGTCGTCCCACATACCGTACGCGGTTGGCCTCGGCGCGCATCATCGGGACGACGATTTGATGGAGCTTGTCGCGGCAAGCTCACGAACGAAGCGACCCTCCGTCATCATGTCTACGTTGGATCCGACAACGCGTCGACACGTCCCTCGTTGGGTGCGAAAGAAGCGCCTCATGGACATGCAATCGAGAAGCCTCTCCCACAGTAGTACTACGTGTAGTACAAGATTCATGGCCGTGCCCAGAGGCGTGGTGGGATGAACATGAAGCCACATACGAGTACACGAGTAGAGTTGCGCCGATAATGCCACACGCCCTCAAAGGCTTCAATAAAACCGGGATGCACGAGGTTTAGGATTGTCCAACTTGCAGTATATCGCACACGACACACAAATCCCAAGTGCGGGCCGTGGTTGTCAAGCTGGTGTCGTGGACGAGTTGTGTTGATCAACGCGAATAGACATTATATCTATCTATCTATCTATCTATCTATCTATCTATCTATCTATCTATCTATCTATCTATCTATCTATCTATCTATCTCATGTACCTCGGTATCGTGTCGAGCACGGGGAAGTTGGTTGGCCGCTCTCGAAACCAAAATCCGGATGAATGACACGAATGGCAACCGCACCGCTCAGCAAGTGACAGCAACACGACCGAGTCCGGCACCAGCGTCGGTGCTTGACGTTGCCCACGTGGTCGTCGCCATCGTCCAATGCACGCCGTCGCCCCGGACGTGACTTCCTTTCTGCAAGCACTGCTACCAGCGACATTGACGCCACCTCTCGCAGCCCTCCGCCAGCTCCTTAGCTCCCTGGAGCCATGGAGTATCTGGCCGCGACGAAACCTTTGTGACGTCAACGATACCCTTCTTGTCGCTACCATGTCCATCTGCAACTTGGTGTGCATTGGTGGCTACTCGTGGTGCTAACACCCACAGCCGTACGACGTCAACTTCGATGTCCTCTATCGCATTGGGTTTGCGCATATACGCTAATGTCAGAGCACACCAGCGAGTCGAAGCGTGTCGACAATGACGCTGCAACTATCGGCATCTCCATTCGGAATTTAGAGCTGTAGAGTGTATTCAGACTACAAACAATCAACAAACTCATTAAAGGAGTTAGGAGGTTAGGAGCCGAAGCTGCAAACCTAGCCACGTTGCAAAACTGCCCCGACGGCGTGCATGGCAACAACGACACCCAACGACATGTCGTACGTACCTTCGAGTCCTTTCTGACATACCGGTATACAAATCCCAAACACGCGGGCTCCGTCGGTGACGCCGTGTCAGAGCACTTTGACATTGTCAATGCGTCTGATGACAACATCATGGAAATGACTTACAACGAGCAACACGAAATAATGTGATCAGCCAATCCATTGACGTGCGCCTCATGTTTCTTCAAAAGTGAGCATGACCATGAGCTCTTTACTGGGTAGCATCATGGGGTAGCATTGGGCCACGGGTCATGACATCGATGCGGCGATACTTCTCTCCGGTACTAGTACTTGTTGCGTGTGCTCGCCAGTAATATTCTCGTTGTTCAAAATTGGAGCGTGCGCTGGGTATCTCAGCTAATCGCACAGCGATTAGCTGAATTGTGTGCGATTCGCACACACTGCATCCAATGTGCACTAGCTTTGGGTATTCATGGCCTCGATACCCATGCTCGATACCAAGTCCTGCTAGGATCGCTGCGGCATTACTGGTGATATGCAAAAGATCCACCGCTGCGGTCAGTGATTGGCGGCTTAGAGGTCGTTGCGTGGCAGCGTTGCAGGCTTCTCTACCGCACGACACCCGACACTGCCAGACGTCACTGTATTGCAGCCAACTGGAGAACGCGCCTCATTTATGCCATCGCCTTGGCCTTCTTACCGCAGCACCCGTCCAGTATACCGGCACGCGGTTCCACCGTCTATGTAGAGCACTTGAATGCTCTTGAAAACACGGAACTTCGTTGGTCGCTCCCGATCCGTGCGTTTGGCGTGCATGTAGCCCCAAAAGAGGCGATTCTGCCATCGAACCGATAGAGTGCGTGGCCGCACGAGGTGATAGGAACCCGTCGTGAAGCCGGCAAGGTCTGGCCACAGCCACAATTCACCACATCGAGTGACATCCAGTTACCGGTAAAAACCAAGGGTAACGATATTTTTGAGCAACTGGTGTCGGTTCGCGCGGCTTTTACAGGCAGCGAGCGCGTGCACAAATAACTTGTTTTACTCGCATACGGTGCACACCATGTGACGAAGTGTAGTATGCAGCGCTCAGCGCACGCTGTGCTAGTGGTGGGAATGCACGAGGCCTCTGCCAGGACTTGATCAACTGTGCGTTCTCATTATCCAATCTTCTCGTGTCTCGTCGAGCCAAACCCAACTGTCGTAATGGTGTCTGTCAAAGCAATCTTTCTCGGTATCACCCTCCTCGCCATGGCTCGCGAGGCCCAAGCCCAAGACGGCACTGAGTCGATCGCTGCGTATGGATCGGACGACTTCGACTCATACGCCTACGGCTACCCGACAGAGGCGCCTGAGACGCCATCCCCTTCAACCCAACGGCCGACGCGCACCCCGAAGCCGACGACGTCCAAGCCAACGCGCACCCCGAAGCCTACAACGCCCAAGCCGACGCGCACCCTGAAGCCTACGACGCCCAAGCCGACGACGGCCCCAGCGACGCCGCGCCCGGGCTCAACAACTGGCACGCCGTTGACAACTCCCGCTGCGACCACCATCGCGCCAACTCCAGGCGCGACAACTGTCGTGCCTACGCCGTTGGCTACCACTGTCGCGCCTACGCCGGCGGCAACCACTTTCGCGCCGACTCCAGCTGCAACGACTGTCGCACCTACGCCTGCTGCTACTACTGTCGCTCCGACTCCCGCTGCGACCACTGTCGCGCCTACGCCTGCTGCGACCACCGTGGCTCCGACTCCCGCTGCGACAACCGTCGCGCCGACGCCTGCTGTCACCACTGTCGCGCCGACTCCCACATCGAACACAACGAAACCGTGCACCACCACCAATGCGCCGACGACAACGACGCCCACGTCGACCACCAAGGCGCCGACGACGACGACACCGTGTATCACCACAAAGGCGCCGACGACGACGACGACGCCCACATCGACCACCAAGGCGCCGACGACGACGACACCGTGTATCACCACAAAGGCGCCGACGACGACGACGCCCACATCGACCACCAAGGCGCCGACGACGACGACACCGTGCACCACCACAAAGGCGCCGACGACGACGACGCCCACATCGACCACCAAGGCGCCGACAACGACGACGCCCACATCGACCACCAAGGCGCCGACGACGACGACGCCGTGCCCGACGACGGTGTCTTCTACGAAGACACCGTCGCCAACGCCGTGCAAAACTACCACCACCCCCTGCCCCACAAGTTTCAAGCCGGCCTCAACGTCCACAATCCCCAACACGTGGTCGCCCACTGTGACTCCGTGCAAAACTTCTACAACCCCGTCGATGCGCCCTACGACGGCTCCGTGCAAGTAATTCATAATGTGCAATACATGGTATATTGTCTCAAATTATCGAGTTTCTTCCAAGATGAGCATCGCAGTGAGCTGTGTGGGCGCTGCAATCGACGCGAAATCGGCGCTTTGCGCCAAATATTGGACCTACCACCGCTTGGAGCACACGATGAAAGTATTCTCCAGGTACACGGACAAAAATCTGGCCAGCCACAAACGCCAACTCATCGTCCAGAACCTCGATGGCTCGCCGTCGACGATCTACATACGATTGTCGTAACTTGATCTCTGCGAATCATCGTACCTGCGTATCGTCGGGCGAGAGCACTCTTCGGCGCAAACCAACGAGGCGTCGCGTAATGTCTTGCATCGCTTCCACTGTGTCGTCCTCGGCGTTCGCGTGGTCCTTGACCCACGCCCATGCGGCCGTCAAATACTCGATCGCCCGGTACGTGTCGTCGACAGTCGACGCGCACTCGCCGAAGAGCCGAAGCGACGCGACGACGTTGGTCGATGCTTTCACGCAGAGCGCGTGCGCCTGGAGCGTGGTCGTGCACGCCGGATGCAGCGCCCGCGTCAACAAGCTCAGCGGCGCCGTCGCGAGGCAGCAGTCGGCGCGGCTCGTCACCAAGGAGCTCAGCGCTGGCGTCTCGTACAGGCGTAAGCACTCTTCGTAGAGACTCGGAGCTTTGTCGGGTGCTCCGACTTGATCGACGAGACACGCCTGTGTGCGTCGCACCTCGACAAATGGCGCGCTTTTGCGGCCAAACGTCTCCTTGAGAACGCCCAGGCAGGCGTCGCACATGGCCAGCGCCTTGTAGTTCTCCCCGCGGCCATGTAGATGTCGACGAGGAAGACATGCGTCGGACCGAGATGCCACGACGCGATGGCCACGGCTCGCTTGACGAGGCGCCCGATGTGCTCGACGTCGCCTTTGGCATGTGCGAGCGTCATCGCGACGGTGTGCGCTTTGGCGAGGTGCGCGTGCCAGCGCGGTCCGTCCTCCAGCGCCGCAGTGGCAAACGTGTCGGCGTCGCCAAGGTGCGACGTCCGCGCCGAGAGCTCGGCGGCACACACAAGGAGGTGCACCCGGTTGTGGTCCGTCGGGTGGGCCTCCTCGAGCGCAAGTGCTAGCTTGACGAAGGTCACCGCGTCCGACAAGTGACCAGAACCGACGGCGTCGTCTGTGGACGCAATCAACCGTGTGCTTTCGGTCGTCGTCCAGAGAACCATCGACGTCGATGATTGAAGCCCGACGATATGGTGTGCTCGGAACGGCCCGGGGACGTCCCCGGCGCTCGCAATGCGATGCAGTACCACGGTGACACCAAGGTGTTTTTCCAGCGCAAAGAGCACCTGCGGCAAGTGCAGATCGTTGCGCGTCGGCGTCGTGTGCCAACCAAATTTGAGTCGCAGCGTTGGAAGCAACTCATTGTCGAGAAAAACAACGGCCTCGGCGCCGCCAGCGCAGACCAAATTGACGAGCGTCAACACGACCGATCGCAATGCCGCCGCGAAGCAGCACCTTGGGCGTTCGGGCCACCATTTCAGTGAGAAGAAGTCGACGGATATGGCCGAGCGTAGCGAGCTCGTAGAGGCGACCCAAGTACCACATGTTAATGCCGTCGCCGTGGCGTCCACGCCGTGAAATATTCGTTGGCTTCGAGGCGGGCGACGGCCGATGGGAGCACCGACTTTTGCAAATAGTGCCTCGCGCAGGCCACCGTGCTATCGAGCGCTGCCACGGACCCGGTGCCGTAGACGTTGGAGCTCAGCGCGGTGTGTGGTATTGCCGAATGTACTCGGGGCGGAGCTGGTGCGGGCTCGTCACCGTCGTGAGCACCGTCGTCGTGTTCGAGGGCGTCGGGTACGCACAAATGTCGCAGGCGGGTCCATGCATACGTGTCGTCCTTCAGTCACACGACGCGCGCGTCACACGGCAATACGCGCAGAAGGGCCATGGCGTCGGCCGCGTCTGTCTCGGGCGGGCACAGATTGAGATGCTTGAGGGCCGCCGTTGCGGCGATCACAAAAGCAGATGGGAGCTCGGTTGTCTCGCACTCGTTGATCGCAGTCGGTGCCGAGCCATAGTCGCCAAAGACCAGCGCCGAAGTAGTCGACGGTGCAGTGCAGCGGTACTCGCAGTGTAGTCGCATCCAGCGCTTGCAGCGCGTCAATGATCGCGCGGCTGGCGCGGAGGTCGTGTCCAAGGGTCTTCCAGACAGCGACACTCGGTGCTCGCCACAGAAAGCAGCACAAGCCGTCGGCCACGTACACGTCGGCGTCAGTCGCGTCGACATAGCCAAACCATCGCCGCTGGTCGCCAGTGTCATTGGCTAAAATGTTTTTGGCCGAGAAAATGTCGTCGGCGTCAGTCGCAGCTCGAGTCGATCACGTGGACGCGCAGCAGCTACATCAAAAGCCACGCAGCCGAAGCGGCTCGTGCGATGCAGCAGTGCATTGCAGTCGGTGTGCGTCACATGAGCTTGACGCGATGCAATCTCGCCCGCACCAATGTGAAAGCACTTGCCGACGCCTTGGCTGGCACGCAGTCTATCAAGGTCTTCGACAAACGCCATGGACTGAGGCGGCATCAGCGACCAGAGGTCGCATTGCAGGACGATCGGTAGTGTGGGCTTTGTGTGGCCCAAAGATCTGGGCCGCGTTGGCAACGACGTCTATTTTCAGGCACAGCACGCAGCAGGCGCTAGTGCGTAAATAGCTACTTGGATTTCAATGTGCATCGTGGCACGCACAGCCGATCACAACGTCCGGATAAGTGACAGGCATCCGCATACGGTGGCAAGTTTTCGATGAGCTCAGTCGCAGGGGTGGATGACAGCAAAACGACCGAGTCCGGCACCAGCGTCGGTGCTTGACGTTGCCGACGTGGTCGTCACCATCGTCCAATGCACACCGTCGCCCACGGACGTGACTTCCTTTCTACAAGCGCTGCCACCAGCGACATTGACGCCACCTCTCGCAGCCCTCCGCCAGTTCCTCAGCTCACTGGAGCCATCGATGGCGAGCTACGTCTGGCCACGACCAAACCTCTGTGACGCCAACGATACCCTTCTTGTCGCTGCCATGTCCATCTTCAACTCGGTGTGCATTGGTGGCTACTCGCCACGCAGACACTCGTCTTCGGGCGAGGCCATTTATACGCGCCTTCGTGGCACACCGGTACCGGATCGTGTCCGTTTCGACAAAGCTTTCTGCCGCTTTGTCGCCAACTGGACAGCAAAGGTGACGCACGTCGAGCTTCTCGAGAGCCCTTCTGTAGACCACCGCGAGGCGTGCTACAGCATGCTGCGGCAGTGCACCAGTCTCCAGCACGCACACCTTCCGTGTGAGACCCCGCTTCTCGAGGCCATCACGACACCGGCCCACCGCGTGTCGGAGCTGAACCTCTCTTTCAACAAAGTAACTTTTGCACCTGACGCTGTTTTGGTCATCGAGCGCTGGCTAGCATCGGGCTACGCGCGGCGACTGGCCCTTGCATCGTTTACGACCCCCGATGCTCGTCTCGCGCTGGCGCTGTCGTCGTCGACTCTCTCGGGCCTCGCATTGGACGTATCCCCCGGCGCTCTTCAGAGCCTCATTGAGAATGGCGTCCATTTGAGGCACCTCAAGGAGCTCAACCTCAACGCCGGCGTCCGTTCGGCAAAGGGGTTTCGCCAGCTCGCGCCGGTGCTCGACCTCCCAATGATCGAGCAGCTCACACTCACCAGCAAGCGCGACGGCGCGTACTGCATGTCTGTGCTGCCTCGCATGACATCGCTTCAAGACCTCTCGCTCATCGACGTCGACCTCACCAAAGGCGAAATGCCGCGACGATGCGGCCCATCCGTGCTTCGTCACGCGCACTTTGATCGCGTCAAATTTTCAACAGCCAACTTCGACGCCGTGCTTGGCTGGGCCCTTGGCTCCCCGCAGCTCGAGTCGATGGCGTGGTCGAACTGCAGCCACATCAAAAAGCATATCGACCAAGCGGCTCGTGCGATGCAGCTGTGCATTGCGGCCGGTGTGCGCCGCATGAGCTTTGAGAACTGCTATATCGACCGCCATGGCGCGAAAGTGCTCGCCGACGCCTTGGCAGGCACCCACGCCCGAGAGCCGTTCGAGATGGACCTCTCGCGCAATACCTTTACGGCCCTCGGACAAAGCTGCCTCACCAATGCGCTGGTAACATGCACGAACGTGACGATCCACCTACGTGGCGAAGTGCCCCAGTATTTTTCCGGTAAGGATCGAGTGCACGCCACGACGATCGGCGTCACCATCCGCTGCGAGGGGCTCGCCATCTTTGTTTGCAGTCCCACGCCACCTCCGCTATCGACGTCCGCCTAAATGGTCGACAGCTCATGAATCGAATGTGTCCCTCCCTGCAATTGTCAAAGTTTGTCTTGGTTGGTGCACAGGCGTTGCCACAAATATTGTCACTTGATACGTTCTTCTACTAACTAGTATATGCCCCAGGGTCCATTAATAGTTGAACAGCGTATGGACCATTGATATGCCGCCACAAAAACAGGCCCCATACAAGAGGAATCTTGCAGTAGCCCACTCAGATTGAAGTGACCACATGATCCCACGGCCACAAAGGTTGCTTATGCCGGTGCTGCTTGTCACCTTCTTCGACACTTCGGGACCAGCAGTGCCAGTCACGTGATGAGTCTCTCTGCCTCCCGGACGAATCTATGCTTCCGCTTGATCTATTACGAGTGAGAGTACTCCATGGAAAGGAAGTGGTGGGCGTAGATAGACGTTCGACATCACAACCTTCTTCTTGGTGGTCTCGAGTCTCATCTCATCACATAGTGAGAAGATGGGCTACGGAAAAGCCTCTAGGCCGCCGACGCCGACGGGCCTTCCGCGTCGACGAGCGTAAACTGGTCGAGGCTCTTCTCGATCGCGTCCATTTGCTTGCGTATCGAGCGGCGGCGGCCCTTGCCCTTCGTTCCTTCGTGCTGCGCCAGCGTTGCCTCGAGCGCCGCGTGCTTGGCGAGGAGCTCGTCGCTGCTGCCGTCGCCCATCCATGCGTGGTCGCCGCAGAGCACTTGGATGCGCTTGGCCGCCTTTGTCTCGACGCAGCCATCGCAGAGGAGCACGTGCGTCCGGCAGTAGGCGCAGCGCGTGCCCGACACCACGTCGTGCGCGTCCTCGCACGCGCTGCACTTGCCCACGACGGCGTCGTTGCGGGACGCCATCGCGACGCCTACATATGGTCGATAAGAGTCGAGCTCGCATACGATCCGGAGACGTACGCTGGTCGAACACAAAGTTTTTCCCGAGGAACTGGCCGCCGTCCGGGAAGGTCTCCAAGTAGCGGTGTATACCTCCTTCGAGTTGGTAGACGTTCTCCAAGCCGAGGTGCCGGAGGTACGCCGACGCCTTCTCGCAGCGGATGCCGCCCGTGCAGTACATCAAGATCGCGCTCTTCTCTTGCAGCTGCGGCAGCGTCTCGCGGACCCAAACGGGAAACTGGCCAAAGCGGCGCGTGCGCGGGTTGAGCGCGTCCTTAAAGTGGCCAATGCTAGCAGAGATAAGGACGCATGAAGCAAGTCGACGATGCGTACTTGTACTCGTAGTCGTTACGCACGTCAATGACGGCAATGTTGTCGGCCGAGAGCTTGGCGTCGAAGTCGGTCGGCGAGAGGTGCTGCGCCGTGTCGCGGACGTGGCACACATCATCGGGCAGCTCGATCGACACGATCGCCTTTGTGCGGCGGATCAGGAGGTCGTCGAAGGGCAAGGCCTCGGCGGCGCTTCGCTTCCAGTCGATGCCCATGCCGCCGAACGCGGTCGAGGCCTCCATGGCCGCGATGTAGGCATCGATCGCCGCCGCCGGCCCGCCAAGCGTCCCATTGATACCTTCCTCGGCAATGCGCACGCGGCCATAGAGGCCAAGCGGCGCGCAGAAGCGCTCGTGCCACGCGGCTGCGTCGTCGGCGTCGGTCGCAGAGAGCGCAACGTACTTGTAGTAGAGCACGACGTCGCACATCGCCAATCACAAAATTGATGCGCGTATCCGGATACAAGGTGCACTCCGATATCCGATATCGGCGTGGGAGAGGCGCGCTTTCATATTGGATATCATCAAGCGCTCGCCACCATACTCGCTAGCACGTGGCGCAATGGTCACCTCGCACCGTCGATGAATGCCATATAGCGAGGACGATCGCCATGCTTAGGGGGTCCAGCAACGCTTGGGATGCGCTGCAGTCTTCTTCACCTTCAACGCCGGAGCCAGTGCGCACTGTGGCCAGCCAGAGAGTGAATCGGCTGCCAAAAGCGATTCGCACGCCTTCGCACATACATATTACTCTCGGCCTACTTAGAGGCCAAAGCCCACGAGCTCCTTCGTATCGTCGTCCAGCGCGTGCAAATCGTCCCAGAGAATCGGCATCGAGAGCTGAATGTCGTCGCTAATCCACGCAAGATGGCTCGCCACCGGTGAAATCTTGGTCACCGGCTTGAGCTCCATGACAGGCGCCTCTTCCAACGCCATAGGGGCTGCCTTGTCGTCTGTCGTCATTGTCGGCTAATAATTTGTGTGTGAGCCTCTTTCCATCCGCCTGGATTATATACCTTGACGTTCGAGTACCAGTGGTTCTTGATCGCATTGTCCGTCCTAGGCAGAAGAACACCCATGAGACCAATAGAGTGACGGCGACAACGCACCGCCCTGGCAACTGCTTCATAATGTGCGCCCAGCGGTTGCCGTAGCGCGCTTGGAGCTCAATCAAGCACTTGTCCTCGGCCGGCGTCCACGGGCCCTTGTTGATGTGCGGACTCAAATGGTTGTGCCATCTACCTCGCGCTGAGGCGACGACGAGCCAGAGCGTCAAATGTACCTCTCTCGGCACTGCTTGCCGTTGCGGCCAGGAATGTACGACGCGATGAATCCCCAGCGCTTCGGGCCGTGGGTCGCCACGATGCGCTCGAGGAGCTCGTCCTCAAAGGCCAGCCACGGACGCTTGAGCTTGGACGTGCACGTCTGCAGCTCGTGCCAGCGCGCATTGCACTCGGCCGCGCTCCGATTCTTGATGAGGTCGCTCACGAGCTTCCAGCGGCGCGCGCCATACGCGAGAATCGCCCGCCGCAGCTTCTCGTCCTACGTCCACGCATGGGTTGCAGTCCTATTGCCAGAGTTTGTACCTCGTCCGAGGTCCAGAGGCCCATCTCGCTGCTGCTGCGGACCATGCTGCTACCGAGGTAGTTGCCAACTGACGTGTCCTCTTCGATCGGCCCATCAATATTGACAGCTCGGGACTCGCCAAGCCTGACCTGTCTATCTAAATCTATATATATTCCTCGACCGAGCACGATGGGCGAGAGGCGGACGACGACCTGTGCGCTGTGCCACCGGTCCTACGGCGCCGGCTTCGAGTCGACCTCGGGCAACGTATGTACCCGTCGACTTGCTTTGCATGCGAAGATGGAGCGTACTAGGACATTTGGCGGGCCCGTCGCATGCTTCGGCGGCGCGGGCTTGTCCACGACGACGACGGCAACGACGACCTTTTGACTTGCAGCGCCAACGACGGCGTCGCCCGTGTCTGTGTCTTTTGCGCCCAAGTACGTACGTCTGCGGCTGCTCACGAGTACTTAGCGGGTCTAGTTTGTGACGACGGCCGTGACGCGGGATTGCAGACGCTTGGACGAGACGCGCTGCGCGCTGCAGCGACCGTCGACGACGACCAAGCGTGCGATGAGTCTCGTCGTGCGTCATGACGCGAGCGCCAGCATCATCAACTCGGTCGAGACGCTGCGGTCGCTGCCCACGGACCTCAACCGCATTCTGCGCATTCGTCCGTCGACGTCGTCGAGTCCGCGCGCGACATTGTGCAACCTCAAGCTCCAGCAGCAGCGCGAGGTCAGTCGTCCAGTCGAGCTCTCACATGCGTCGATGTGACGATGACTCGGGTAGGCGCGGACCATTCTTGCACAGGACCTGCGCCCGCGGCGAACGAGTGGTCGGCGGCCAGTTGTTGGCACTTCGGCCGCGACCCCGGTTGATCGGCTTCGGCTGCTCGGTCCGACACCGGTCGTGCCGCCTGCTGGTGTCCAGACGAGGCCGTACCGGACAGCCGCTTCCCCTGTCCACCACGTCAAGGCGGGGACGCTCGTCCAGACGACCAGCGGGCGGTTTGCGCGCCTCGAGGTGCGGTGGCCGGCGCTGTAGCCCGCGCGGAAGTAATCATATACAACGACGTCGATTACAATGTCGTGGAATAAAGTCGGCGCGCGGGAAGGATCGAAGTGGCGCCTAAAAGTTGTTGATTTCGCGCAGCTGGTGAAACTCGTTTTGAAGCGTCTCGTGGCGAAAGTCGAGGCGCATGTCGGGCACGTTGGTCATGCGAATGTCTAATGTCCATCTCAACGTGAATCTCAAAGTGTCAGACCCTACCGTTGCCGTCGGACCCGGGCTGAAAGTAGTTTTTGCCCAAAAAGTGCTGCTTGAACGGGTGCTCAAAGCCGGATTGGAGCACCGAGTTGCGTGCGATTTCGCAAATGTCCGTGCCCGAAAACTTCCACACCTGCGCCGCGACGCTGTACTCTTCGAGGAGCGGGTCCTTGGTGTAGTGCAGCATGAGCGGATCGTCCGTACTCAGCGACACGTTGAGCCCGCGCGCAAAGTACGTCGGGAACGGGTTGCGCTGGAAGTCGAGGAAGAGCTTGTTGTTGCTCAGCGGCGACATGGCAATCCCAATCTGCGTGAGGTAGTAGAGGTACTGGAGCGACACGGTCTTGCGCAGCGTGATGCCGTGGTTGATCTATCGAGACCGTCCACCTCTAAGTATCAACAAGATGGAAACGAGAAAGAATACCCCGTTGGCGCAGAGGAACGCGGCCGCCAAGTGGTCCGGGTCGCCCGCCTCGCCGCAGTGCGGGCGAAAGCTAAAGGTCGAGAGCCCCTTGGCCTTCCGGAACGCGTTGAGCGACGCAATGTTGGCGTAGAGGTAGTACGTCCAGTAGTCGTACGGCGGGTTGTGCTCGTTCGTCCAGTGCGCGGGCGGCGGCAGCGGCTTGCCCTTCTCGGCGCGGATCGGCTCGGTCTTGCTCTCGTCGTCGACGCAGTCAAACCCAATCACTGCCTGGAGAAAGCAGTGCAGCGCCGGGTTCGAACTCGGGTCCTTCGTGACTTCGAAGAGCGGCAGGAAAATGTTTTCGAGCATTTGCTCGAAATTCTCGACGTCGCCCGACCTAATTGCAGGGATTTTGAGTTGCGATCTACGAAATTGGAGAATTACTTTTTGTATAAAAAGTACAAGCGCGGGATCTGGATCATCCAGCGCACGTGCGGCGACGCGAGCCGGTTGACGTAAAACCACTTGGCGAGCTTGTCCCACTCCGAGTGCTTCCGGCCGTAGATCGAGAGGCGCCACTCGACGAGCTGGTACTTGGACGCATTCAGATCGCTCATGACCTCCTTCGTAATGTCGGCCAAGTACCTAATTAACACAATAGAAGTCGAATGACGGCAGCGAGGAGCCACGCACCGGCCGCCAATGAGGTTGTCCGTCTTGAGAAAGATCTCACGGAGCCGACTCTGCCCCGCGGGGTTGTACTTGAGGTTGAACCGGTCAAAGCGGTGGAACGTGTTGGACGCGTGCATGTCGAGCGTGTCGACTGAGAGATCGTACGCCGTGAGGTTGAGCGAGTGGAAGACCTCGCTGAGCGTCATGAAGCGCCCGTCGCGGAAGATGACGATCTCGCCCGGGTGGTTCTTGAGGCGCGACTTGATGAAGCGCAAGAGGTGTTTCTGGTTCATGCACGCCGAGTGGTGAATGTGCGTGTCGACCTTGCGGATGTTGTAAAAATCGCGGTGCGGCACAGCCTTTTGCGACGCGAGCTCGCGGTCCGCGTTCAGCAGCGTGTGCAAGTTGAAGCGTGCTTCCAGCAGCTGCAGCCGCTTGAACGAAAAGGTCTAATGCACGCATTCTCAACCCGATGCGAGCAGCGAGGCTCGAAGCGCGTACCTTGACCGGCCCCGAGTTGACGATGCGCTTGACTTCAAACCAGTCGTCGTAAAACTCTTCCTGCGAGTGTGGCGTGTAGATCGGATCCGTCGCGCCGTCGTTGAGGACGACGATGACGCCGTTCTCGACGCGAATCGCGTGCGTTGACCCCGTCGGTGTCTAGGACCCGTCAAGCATGCTTTGAAAACGGAGAAAGCGTGTACCGCAATGTCGAAGATGTTGTACGGAAGGTCGTCGCGATGGCGCAACTGCGGGCGCGACCCGCCGGGCGTGAGCGGCGGCTCGGGAATTTCATCCTGCGGCTGCATCAAGAGCGCGTTGGCGGCCATGTACTTTTCGCGCAGCGCAATGCACTTTAGGATGCCTTGGCACACGTCTTTGGTCTCGGGGTCGTGCTCGTCGTCGGCGGACGTGACGTGAATGCGCTGGAAGAAGCTGTTGTCCTCGTACGGCTCGGGAATGCGTTCAAAGAGCGTTGAGAGCTCTGGTCATGCCATCATGAGACGACAATGGTGGTCTCATGCGGAACGTACCATTGTTGTTGTCTTTCTCTAGCTCGTCGTCACGATCACTGTCCTCGGCGAGCGACAGCTTGCGCTGCTTGGCCGTGTTGTAGATCGACTGGAGGTAGTCAAACTTCTTCTGGTCCTCTAGGTCCTACGCCGCCATGAGAATGATGAGCGCCATGTGCCGTAGGTAGGCGTCCGCACCATGTCCATCTCCTTGTTCTCGGCAAAGTCCGCGTCCTCTTCCTGGCGCAGCGAGGCCATCTTGTTCGAGTACCGTCGCAAGATGCCAAATGCCACCAAACGTTGAAGCCCTCACCGCAAACGAAGCTTCGAACTTCGGGCCGCGATCTTGCGATCCAGGCAATATTCGAATTTCGAAGCCATTCGCCGAGGTGAGCGGTACGCTTTGGTATAAAATATGCTGTCGCGCTCCGGCGTTCAAGAACGAGTTCACTGAGGGACGACGTCGCGCGCTTGGGCTTCGGTGGTTCTGTGCGTGCGTGCTGTAGGCGTGAGTAGCACCCTGCGTCTCCTGTACCCTGCCCCACATTTGGATGCGGGATAGCATTTCTTGAACCAGCTTCAACTCGGCAACACCAACGTCGCGGGCGGTGGCATGAGAGTTGCACTTGCAGGTAGTTGCCATCCCATGGCATCCCATGAGTGGTCCTCATCAGATTAGGGATTCTTGCCGTTTTGCGTGAGCGACACCTTGTGTGCGCATCGCTCTTCTTGCCGAATATGGTCGCGCGCGTAACATTGACAAAAGGTCGACTGAAAACGTGATATTGGAGTATACAGCATCGAGCGAGCTCGCGGGGGCTTCTTAGCGGTTGCGTCTAACCAAATATGGCAAGTCAGTACAACCGGGTAGTGTTCGTCGAGCGTACCGTCGGCCGTGCCCGTGGTTGCGATTCACTGAGCGGTCCCTACGAGCGACGCGATGTGAGATGAGACAAAAGATGGTCCAGAAAGGACAACATACCGCTTCTCGTCGCGGCGCGGGGCCGGCGGCGGCGTGTTGCGCGGCTCGCTGCGCTTGCGCTCGGCCATGCGCTGCTTGCGCTCCTCAGCGAGCCGTTTGTTGTTGGCCTCGACGATCCGCTTCTCTTCGGCCTCGTCCAGCGACGACGTCATGCGACGTTTGGGCGGGTCCTCGGCCGTCGGCTCCTCGCGCTCGCGCTTCCGGTTCAGCGTCACCATCTTGCGCACGTCGCCCCGCTTCTCCTGGAGCTGGCGGCGCAACGCAGCTTCCTCCGACTCGCCGTCCTTGGCCACATCCTTCGATTCTTGATTGCGACCACTAGCGTCGCTGCGACTGCCCTCGGGCTTGGTCGCCTCCTTGCGCTGGCTCTCTGGCTTGCTGTCCGTCTTGCGGTCGCTCTCGGTCTTCTTGTCCGCTTCCGGCTTGCGGTCGGGTAGAGGCTTGCGGTCATTGTCGACCTTGCGGTCACTCGGTGCCTTGCGATCGTTGTCAGGCTTGCGGTCACTCTCGGTCTTCTTGTCGGCTTCCGTCTTGCGGTCACTCTCGGCCTTGCGATCGCTCTCGGTCTTCCGGTCGGTCGCCGTCTTGCGGTCATTCTCGGTCTTCTTGTCAGCTTCCGCCTTGCGGTCGGTCGCCGTCTTGCGGTCGGCCTCAGCCTTGCGGTCACTGTCAGCCTTGCGGTCGGTCGCCGTCTTGCGGTCGCTGTCAGCCTTGCGGTCTACATCCCGCTTTGTCTCGGCCGCCTTGCGATCGTCGGGCTTGCGATCGTCGGGCTTGCGGTCGTCGGGCTTGCGGTCGTCGGGCTTGCGGTCGTCGGGCTTGCGGTCGTTCGTAGGCTTGCGCTCCTGGCGCCGACCGTCGTCCTTGCGGTCGTCCTTGCGGTCCGTTTTGCGGCTGCGCTCGTCCTTGACGTCCGCCGCCGGCTCTTTTCCACGTCCGGTCGGCTCGTCCTTGCGAGTGTCCTTGGACGTACGACTCCCATTCTCTTCCTTGCGGCCCCCGCTCTCGCGGCGCGCAGGCGGCGGCGTCTCACGACGAGGCTCCCGGCGCAACTCCGTGTCGTCCCGGCGGCGCACTGGATCACTGCCGCGGCCCCGCTTGCGGCCATCGTCCTTCTCACGCGACAGCGATCGCGGGCGCTTCTCGTTGGTCGTCGTCGACTCGCGGCGGCGCGGGTCCTTGGCGTCCTTGGCGTCCTTGGCGTCACGCGCCGGACTCGGGCTGGACCGGGGCGCCTTCTCGTCCGCAAACGTGCCGAGGCGGCGCTTGAGCAGCGCCGAGTAGCGCTTGGCCATGATTTTCAAATCTTCGCGATCGTCGAGCGTGAGCTTTTCGACGAGACTCAAGAGACGCGTGCCGTTGGCACTCGAGACAGGAAACACGTCAATCATCTTGGTGAGCAGCACGAGCGTGTTGCGCGTCGGCATGTACTCGGCGCTGCCGAGCGCACCCGCGTACACGCGCTCCATGTGGCTTTGCCACTTGGCGTACGTTTTGCGGTATCTGCGATGCTCCATGCGGACGCTCGGGTCGTTGAGCGAGAGGCTAAAGCCAATCTTGTTGGCGCCTTCGGCACCAAAGTCGTCGGCGGCGTGGAACCAGCGCGCGAGGAGCGCGTGCGACTCTTTCAGGAAAATGCCAAAGTTCGAGGCTTCGCGCTCGGTCGTGCAGAGGACGAGGCCCGAGAGGTTGAGCGTCACCTTGTGGTAGTACTGCAGCGTGCTCAAATTCGGCGTCTCGATCTCGTGCAGATGCTGCATAAACTTGGCGCAGTACATGGCGTCTTCCGGCGACAGAAGCGCGCGCGGCACGATGCACTTTTGCAGGAGTTCCGAGACGGTTGTCGCCACCGCCGACGTGAAAAACGTGTGTTTCTGGGCCTCGAGCCGCTCAAAAATGCGCTTGCGGTGCCCGACTTGGTCCTTTTGCTCCGTCACGAGCTTGTCGATGGTCGCCATGAGCTTTTCCTTTTGCTTGCGCTTCTCCGAGGACGACCCCGTCTAGGTCTCGGTATAAAAGGAGGAAGCGGACGACGAGGATCGCGTACCGTCATATTCGCCAGCAGCGTGAGCTCGTGCCGGATCTTGGAGATCTCGGCCTCGTACTGACCGTGGGGCACGTAAATATCGTAGAGCGTGAGCCCCCAAAAGGTCGCAAAGAGCTCTTTCGTAAGCCCTTCAAACGGGTTGTGCGCCGACGTCGCAAACGTCGCGTCGAGCTCGCTCAAAAACGTCTCGCTGTACATGAACGCTGGCCCCGGCGCGTCGGTCGACAGAGATGTTGCGGCACTGCTGTGGACACTGCGCGTCACTACGTTGGCATCATCTATCAATCTTCCAACCCCTCCACGCAAGGGACCTACCCGAACGGAGGAGCGGATCGTCGGACCGCATGGCCGGGCGCAGCAAGAGCATCGCCACGTCGTCGGGTAGGTGGTACTTGTGTACGAGGTCCCGCAGCGGCGGCAGCGCGCCGACATACGTACTCGGGTCGGCGGCGGCGTGCAAAAACGCCAGCAGCTGGCTCAACGTGCGCTGACACATGTCGTACGTGCCGCCGAGCAGCTTGAGATGCTCTTCTTTCGTCGTCTCGTCGTGCTCGATGCGGCTGCGCATCTGGCCCATGACAATGCACAGCGGCCAAGCGAGGTTGAGCTTGACGAGCGTGTCCCGAAGCCGAGGAATCGCGCGTTTGTTCATGACCTTGGGATCCGGCGCCTCGTAGCCAAGCGTCGGCCCGCCCGCCAGCGCCTCGAGCTGCGTCTGCGACAAGTCTTCGAGGGCCAAGCAGGATCCTAGCCGCCGCGATAAGTCTCGGGATAAGAAAGAAGATGATAAGGTAGTACCCATTTTGGTCAAGAGCTCACTGAGCACGATGAGCTCGACGCTCTCCCACTTGCTGAGGCGCTGAAAGAGGTACGAGAGGAGGGCGCTGAGCTCGACCATCGGGTACTTGCGGTAAAAGCTGCCCGAGAAGCTCGCGAGCGACGAGAGCCAGAGCGAGACGTTGGTGCCGTCGAGCTTGAGCGACGGGCGCGGCCGACCGAGCTCCGTGATGAGCACGAACGAGAGCACGTCCATGCCGAGCGGCGAAATGTACTTGAGCGACTCGACGACCGGCTGGATGAGATTTTCGTACGCTTGGAGCTGCTGGAGGATCGTGCGAAACGCGACAAGGGGTTGGCGTGCGCGACGTGCGTCAGGACGCGGCCGGTCGGCTTGGTCTTGTCGGCCGTGAGGCGGCGCATGACCTTGCGCGTCGTGTCGACCGTGCGCGCGTGGGCGAGCATCATCTCCGGGACGTTGGCGTACTTGTCTTGCCAGCTCTGGTAGAGCGCATACCGCTTCTCACACGAAAACGACTTGAGAAGGTCCCACATCTGGTACACGAGGTTGGGGCAGCACCCGTGCAGCGACAGCGTCGGAAAGAGCGTGTGCGTAAAGAGATGCTCGAGCGGCTCGAGCAGCCACGCATTCGACGGCAGCGCGTGGAGCAAAATGCGCTGGAGCTTGGTCCAGAGACTCTGGTCGTGGTGCAGAAACGGCCCAAGCAAGTGGAGCATCGGAAACACAATGTCCACCATCTCGCGCAGCGTTTGGATCGGCGCAACGACGTGGCGCGACGTCACCACTACCGAATCGTAAGTTGCAAAGATGCTGGGAGGCGAGGAAGGAGTGTACCGGTGGTCGTGGCGACGAGGCGCATGGACGCCAGCGACAAGGGTGCGTAGAGCGACGCGAGCAAGTCGCTGATTGTGACGCAGAGCTGGCGCGCGAGCGGCGCATGCGCGAGCGGGTTGCAGTCGCGCGCGACAAAGTCCCGAATGCGCTCGAGAGCGAGCTCGTACGCGCCAATCTCGAGAAGACCAACGAGGATACCGTACATTTGGTTGGCATCCGCCTCCGAGATGGTGGTTGTCTCGGTGGAGGATGCGTCGTCGTCGTCCTTCTTAGCGTTCAAGTTGACCTTGCCGTAGCCGCGCGCGGCCGTCTTGAGACCCTCGACGCGCTGCACTTCCTTCTCGAGGATGCCGGCCTTGGTCGGGCTCACGTGCGGGTAGAGCTCATACAACGTGTAGAGACCCTTGTGCAGTAGCATGGCGGCGATGCGGTACAGCGACCGCGGCGCCACGAGCTTGGCCGCGATTGTCTCGGGGCGCTGGTAAAACTGGAGCTTGAAGCCAAGGAGGTGGACGACGTACTCGCGCTTGAAGGGTGCAATGAGGTCGGCAAAGCAGTCGTTCATGTACTGCGTCTCGTACACATCCAAGAGCAAGTCGAGCACGCGGTTCGGGTCCAGATCGAAAAAGCCTGCAGAGACGCATGAGGTGGCGGCCAAGGTGGTGGAAGCAGAGTACCGATGAGCGCAAGCAAGTCGCGCTGGACGGCCTCGACCGTGTCGCGCGTCACACCCGAGTGCAAGAGCGAGAGCACCTTTGCAAAGCCCTCGCTCTCTTCGCGGAGGAGGTTGAACTTGCTCTGCGTGTACAAGCTGCGCGTGTTGATCCGGACGATCTTCTTGCCGACGGCCGCCGGATCGTTCGCGAGGCCGACTGCATGGAGCACGTCGAGCTCGAGGATCGTCTGAAGCGTCATCGCCGGTACAAGCTTCTTGTCGGCAATGTCCTTGACCACCGTGCAGAGCGTCTTCCACGCCTTCGAGTGGCTCTCGCCGGCGTCGCACGGCAGCTGCTCGACCTGCGAGCCAACGACCCAGAGCGCATCTGCGAGAGTCGTTGCATGCGTTGACTCGGCCTCAAAGAGCTTGGACTCGTCGAGCGCAGCGACAAAGTCGGCGCATGGCACGGCGTCCGTCGCGCACGCCCAGAGCAGCGCCTGGAGCATCGGCGCGAGGTCGTCTTCCTTGGCCGCAGCCTTGGCGAGGGCGTCGGGTCTACCATGAGGAGATGAGGAAGGAAGCGAGATCGTCGGCAGCTTACGCGAGCCTCCGGCCCGACTCGGTCCACGTCGTGACGAGGTCCATCGCTGGGGAGCCACCGAGGAGCAATATAATGTGAAATTTTATGTACACTTGTACTGTCTATGTAGACGCACGAAACCATTATATGACCCCAGGAGTGGCCAATCTAAAACCACGCAACTTGACTATGTTGATATTGCCGTTTCCGTGCGACGACGTCGACCGCAGACGTGGAGTCGATGCTGGTGCTGCGGCATCGACGGGACGATGGGATCCGGTTACTACTCTCTGTGCTTCACTGTGCGAATCGGCCATGTCCATCGACCGCCATGGAGGAATCATGGAAATCTGTAGTCTTGTGTCACTGGTACGAGGTTCGAGGCGTGTGATTCTCGCCATTTTTCATTTATTAAGTATTTGGACTTAATCGGGGGAAAAACATACAAAAGCCGAGCCGCAGGACGCCACCAGCCAAGGGACGAGGTCCCAGCGTGGTAGATACGATTCAAGTCCTTGGACTCGGAAGAGTGAACCGCGTCACAACCGAGGTTACACAAGGGGTTACTTTTTCCTTATTTAAAATTAGATTTCTATTTTCGAGGGTTGGACATTTCAAAAAGAGTGGACTTGGATACAAAGTGCAAGCTCAAATGAAAAAGATCGCGTCGGTTTCAATAAAATGGCCACGGCGCAAGGCCATTGGTCAAAATTAAAATAATATGGCCCGTTTCGTCCGAAAGGCCGGCTGCCAGCGGTCGGCAGAAGCCAACTCGCCGCAAAGCAGAGACTCGAAGCCCGCATGTCGTCCGACGCCCCGCGCCCTGGCAGCAGCTCATCGCCGAGCAAGATGGCGCAGAAGATTGAGGCCGCGCAGTCCATGGATGGGATGCTATCGGGCTACCCGCAGTTCACGCCCAAGCACAAGTCGCTCATGGCCAAGCACCTCTCGCGCGAGCTCTACACCAAGCTCAAGGACCTCAAGACCTCGACAGGCTACACGCTCGAGCGCGCGATCCAGACCGGCGTCGACAACCCGCATCTCGGCGTTGGCATCACGGCCGGCGACGAAGAGTCGTACGTGATCTTCAAGGAAATCTTCGACCCGGTCATTGAGGGTTGGCACGGCTACAAGAGCGACGCGGTGCACAAGCGCGACTTGGACCCGACGCACTTGAAGGACGCCAAGATGCCCGACGAGTACATCATCTCGACGCGTATCCGGGCGGGCCGCAACATCCGCGGCATGCCGCTGCCACCCTCGACGTCCCGCGCCCATCGCAAGGACGTCATGAACCTCCTCGACTCGGCGCTCACGGCCATGGACGGCGACCTCAAGGGCAAGTTTTACAAGCTCGCCGACATGACGCCCGCCGACGAGCAAAAGCTCATCGACGACCACTTTCTCTTCCAAAAGCCCGGTGGGGGTACGCTCTTGGCGGCGGCCGGCGCTGCGCGCGACTGGCCCAGCGCACGTGGCATCTTCCACAACGACGAAAAGACGTTTCTTGTCTGGTGCAACGAAGAAGACCACATGCGCGTCATCTCGATGCAGAACGGCGGTGACATCGGCTCGGTCTTTGAACGCTTCTGCCGCGCCGTCAAGTCGGTCGAAGACAGCATCAAGGCAAAGGGTCGCGAGTTCATGTACGACGACCACCTTGGTTTCATTGGCACGTGCCCGTCGAACCTCGGCACGGGTCTCCGCGCCAGTGTCATGATCAAGCTGCCCAAGCTCAGCGAGGACCTCGAGCGCTTCGAGAAGCTCTGCGGGCTCTTGAACCTCCAGCCACGCGGCATGAACGGCGAACACTCGGCGTCGGTCGGCGGCGTCTACGATGTCTCGAACAAGCAGCGCATTGGGTACTCGGAAGCCGAGCTCGTCCAGACGATGATCAACGGCATTCGTCTCCTCATCGATCTCGAAAAGAAGCTCGAGGCTGGTGAGTCCATCGACGGTCTCTTGCCGACCGAGCGCGTACCCAACCGGTCATTGAGGCGCCAACGACGACGTCGGCCGAGAAGGCCAGCATCGATGTCAAGCCGTCGAGCGAGGTCAACTATCCGGACTTCACGCCCAAGCACAAGTCGCTTATGGCCAAGCACTTGACCAAGGAGCTATACGACAAGCTCAAGGACCTCCGCACGAAGAAGGGGTACAGCCTTGACGATGCGATCCAGACGGGCCTCGACAACCCGCATTTGGGTGTCGGCGTCGTCGCTGGCGACGAAGAGTGCTACACACTCTTCAAAGACCTCTTGGACCCTGTCATTGAAGGCTGGCACGGCTTCAAGGCCGACGCCAAGCACATTACCGACATGGACGTCTCGAAGCTTGTGAACGCCGACAAGCTGGACAACAACTACATTGGCTCGACCCGCGTCCGCGCCGGACGCAACATAAAGAACCTCAGCCTCCCACCCGGCACGACGCGCTCGGAGCGGCTCCAGGTCGAGCACCTCATCTCAACGGCGCTCACGGCCATGGAAGCCGAGCTCACCGGCAAGTACTTTCCTCTTGGCAACATGTCGAAAGAGGAGGAAGACCAGCTTCAGAAGGACCATTTCCTCTTCCAAAAGCCCGGCGGCGGCACGCTCCTCACGGGTGCCGGCGCCGCCCGCGACTGGCCGAGCGGGCGCGGTATCTACCACAACACGGAAAAAAAGCTTTTTGGTCTGGGTCAACGAAGAAGACCACATGCGCGTCATCTCGATGCAAGACGGCGGTGATATTGTCTCGGTCTTCGCGCGCTGGGTCAAGGGCGTCAAGGCCGTCGAGGAGTCGATCAAGAAGAACGGCTACGAGTTCATGCACAACGAACACCTCGGGTTCCTTGGCACGTGCCCGTCCAACCTCGGCACGGGTCTCCGCGCGAGTATGTTTGTCAAGCTCCTCAAGCTCGGCGAGGACGTCCACAAGCTCGAAACGATCTGCTCGTCGCTGGGCCTGCAGCCGCGGGGGTCGGCCGGCGAGCACAGCGCGGCCGTCGGCGGCATGTGGGACGTCTCCAACAAGGCGCGCATTGGCAAGTCCGAGGTCGAGCTCGTCCAGACCATGATCGACGGCGTCGGCAAGCTCATCGAGCTCGAGAAGGCCATGGAAGGCGGCAAGACCATCGACGCAATCATGGCCGATCTCAACCTCGCATAAGATTGCTTGTAAATTCCGACAGTATAACCGAAAGAAAGAAAACCTGTGTACACACCATTGAGATAGACGAGTATTTCTTTAAAAACTTGTCCCAATCGTTGCACAATCTGTCATTCAGGAATACGTGGATGTAATAGGCTTAACTCACGCCGTAGATAATTGATTGTGATTGGCTGGTTTGTGAGGTTGCGGGGTTTTGCGAATATAGGAGGCAAATTGCGGGAATTTTGAGAAATACTCGCGAAAGACTTGGTGTCAACGGAGCGCGCCAGGAAAGAGAGTTCTGTTCTCAGGTTGCATGTCAAACGGGATTCTCAGCTTGGCGAATGCGCATGCTGGCAACCAGCATTACCTTACACCGCCATCTGCACGCGCTTGAACCCAAGTAGCTTTGGCACGCTTAACGGTGTCAACCAGTGGCAAGCGAAGGAGGCATGGCATGTCCATCACCATGCGTGGGCAGCACTTCGTCGAGTCTGCCGGTGGCTCGCGGCTACAAGTAGTAGGGACGAAGCGACCGCACCTCAGTTCATATTGGTTCCGCCGCCTTCTACATTTCGAATGGAAACTTCAACTTGGGCGCCGATATTTTTATATACTGGCTTCAATTTCGGATACAAATCCATAGATGATCATGTGTATTTTAATGGCCAGAAGATCGCGCCACCGGATTGGCTGAAAAGACCATGATGTCGCGACAGAAACGCATCTGATTGGACCGTGTGATCCGAGCCAGAAGCCAAGTCGTCGCAGAAGGTCATTTGCGCAAAAGATGAAGGCCCTGTCCAAGTCGCTGCCGCAGCGAAGCGCGATGAACGTGCGGAAGAGCGACTTGGACCTGGACCTGCTCCGCGCCTTGGCGACGCAGGACATGCACTTCTCGGACGACGAGAGCGACGGCGTCGACAGCGACGAGGACCTCGAGACCATCTTGGTGCCACGCCTTGTGTGGCGCGAGCCCACGAAGCGCGTGTCGCCGGCCAAGAAGCGAGCGCCGCATTCCTTTGCCGCATCGCCCAACAAGGTACTGCGTACTCGATGAATATGCAGGAATGATAGCTTTCTGCGCCGCGACCCATAGAAGCCTGCGACCGACGACGACCTCGGCTGGACGTTCATCGATAAGAGCCCGACCGGCGATCGATCCCGGACAGGCGCCATGGCGACGTTAAGCCAAAGTTGGTCCTTGGCGTCGTAACTAAATATATATATATTGCTCTTGCGTGGTGTCAAAATTCCCTGGAAACGCATTTCCATTTTCGTCTTCCGCATGACCGATAAGAGCGTGTTTCTCATCCAACGCGAGGCGATTGCCAAGGACGAGGCGATCCGCAAGCGGCTCCAAGAGGCCGGCTACAAGATCCTCGAGCAAACAGTGCTCCAGCTCACACCCGAGAAGGCGGCGCTCTACTACGAGCGGCTCAACTGCCGCGACGACCCTGCCCAGCGCAAGGTACCTCCGCCATCGAATTACTTATGTCGACGAAGCGTGACGTAGCCGACGCACCGGGGCACGGCCCGCAGCTCCATGACACCGCGCGTCAGTGACTTGGGCTCGCCGCGCTCCAAGGCCGTGACGCCCCGGAGCCCGAGAGAAGCGACGTCACCGCGGACGACTGCGCCAGGCGGCAAGACACCTCGCGCCGCCAACGAAGGCGCCACCGATGCCGAAGACGTCAAGGATGCGATTGCGGCACTCTCGAGGTACGCCCTTTAAACCCCACAAGCTGACACATGTATCGAAATGGCAGTGGCCCGCTCGTCGTCCTCGTGCTGCAAAAGCCCAATGCGCTCAAGGACCTCCAAGACCTTGTCGGGCCCTCGGATGCGACGCAGTGGGCGTCACAGGCGACGACGCTTCGCGCGCAGTTTGGTCTGGACCAGCGATGCATTGGCGTTCGCTGCAGCAAGTATGGCTTCAACGTCGACGACGAGCGCGACTTCCTCATGGGTGCGCCTTCTCCATGCAAATATACGACGACGACCCGCGTTTTGTGTAGCCCACGCGGTCTTGCGCCGGGATAGCACCATCGCGATCACCGAGGAGTGGGCTGCGTCCGGCGCGACCGTACAACGAATTCTTCTTGAATAGTTGTTGGAGTTGGTCAAACGACGGGGGTAGGTGAGCCTCGATGCGCTGCTCGATTTTCTGTTTCCGCATCAAGTGCAACACTCGAATTCGACCGGTCGCCTCTTCGTCTTCTCGCTCTACGGTCCGCTCGACGCCAAGTCCCGCCTCCGAAGCGGCGAAAAAGGCTTGCACGGTGCGCGAATCGGGGATACATTGATAAATTGATACTTGACGCCAGTCGTGACGGACCTCGAGCTCAACACCATGTCGCAGTCGATCGAGCGCGAAGACATTCTGTCCGTCTACGGCATGGTCGGCCTCTCGCGGGACGAAGTATGGCGCCTCCTGGAAGTTGCTGGCCGTTTTGAAAGCGCCATTAGGAAGAAGAGGTGTTGCGGCAAGCCGACAAACACCTCAAGATGATTCCTCGGTACACGCGAGCCGATATCGAGGCCATGTTCAAGCACGTGCCTCGGGACGCCGTCGGCGCCATGTCCTTTCACGACATGCAGCAGTACTACAAGACGATCTCGACATGGACGACAACCAAGTACTTCTCTGTAGGCGCATTCTGCAAGAGCGACTCCGCCGCGTGCTCTGCATGAAAGAGAAGCTGAGTACGAGCTTGGCGACACCGATCGTGTCCAAGTACCGCAAGAGCCTCACCACGTACAACTCGATGTTCGATCCGCCGTTTGGGATGCTTATGCGTCTTATGGGTAGCTGGTCGAAAGATGCTACGTACCACGTGGCCCCGCCGAGCATGTTTCTCAAAAACGCGGGGCTCAACGGCTCGGAGAACGCGGTGCTCGTCTCGCGCCTCCTCAACTGCCACGCGTTCGGCATTTGCCACCTCGGCGACGGCAACTCGCCGGATCTGACGCAGAACGTCCGGCTGCTTCGTGACGACATCGCCGACACGACCAAGCGCCCACTTTGGGACAGCAACCACATGTGCATTCCGCACGACTAGACTTAATGCCATGACGTGTATACGCTACCTCGCTCGCCTTCCCAAGAAATACCCAAGGAATCGACACGCTTTTCCATTGCATAGCCATCGCAGGAGCGTCTGGGATTCCCGCCAAGTGGAATGCCCCAATGCGGCGACTGGAGATGGATTGCCGTTAGAGCGACGCTACAAGCTCATATACTCTTCTCCCAAGGCTGCCCCCATCGTGAAGAAACACACCGGGGCTAGAGCACTTCGGCAAGCACCTGGACAAATTGGCCGTAGACGCCGACACGCGTCGCGGTCGCAAGTCGCGCCGACGTGGCATCGGCCGTCGGGTTCGGAGCCGTCGTCGACGCGTGGTGGCGCTGTCGTAGTGTCTGTAGCTTCTTTTGTAATCGTCGCCGCATCCAGCTCTGGACCTTGAGAACGGACGCGCGCCATTGCCGAAACTGGCTCGTGCGCAGCGAGCGCAGTACAAAGAACGACCGACGCAGCGCTTCTTCTTCGTACGAGGTGACGCTGCCGAGGAGGAGGATCGCGCCGCAGTAGCACGCGTACGGAAGCCACACGCGTCGCTGCAGGTAGTGCGCCGAGACTCCGATGAAGAGCGCACAGGCCATTGCAGTCGTCGTCGACGCATAGACGAACCGGACGCGAAAGCCCGACCGATGGACAAAGAGGAGCGCGTTCAGGAGCCCCATAAAATACAAGTCGGTCACGCGCTGCGACTCTGGATTCGAGTACACGACGAGCACAAGCGTCGCCATGGCGGCAATGTGCAGCAGCACGACGAGCCCCGCGAGCCACTGCGCATACCGGACGTACCCGCCGTGCGCGTGAAGCAAGATGTGGTCGAGCAGCGACCGCTTGAGGTACGCGGCGTACGTGAGGCGCGGCGCTGTCTGCAGAGAGTGGGCTGCGAACGAGTGGCTGAGGCCGTAGAGGACGCCGGCCATCAATAGATAGGCGGGCACGACGACACCGAACCGTGTGCACCACGCCAGATCTTGGATCGATGCCGGGAGGAGCTTGGCGTCTTGGATCGCCAAGAGGACTTGCGCGAGGAGAACGCTGAGCAGGGCGTAGCGCACGGTGCTAAACACGCGGCGGTGGAGCGCGGGGTCGTGGACGTTTTCAAACGGGAACGGGTCGAGGAGGTACCAGAACCGGTAGAACGCAGCTTCGAGCTCTTCGTGCGCAAAGCTCAGGCTCCACGGGTGCCAGAGCGACGACGTAGAGAGGCTAGAGACAAAAAGCATGGTTGCGTCGCCGTCGATAAGACCGTGAAAGGGCAGCTCCAGCGCATAGTTGCGCCGCCGTAGCACCTCCTGCGGGATGGAAAATGAGTGGCGATAGATAGATAGATAGATAGATAGATAGATAGATAGATAGATAGATAGATAGATAGATAGATAGATAGATAGATAGATAGATAGATAGATAGATAGATAGATAGATAGATAGATAGTAGATAGATAATACCTGGCGGTAGTGCGACACCATGCCACCAACGACACGGATCGCGTAGTTGAAGACTTGGTACATAACGTCGCGGGCAGCGTCGGCGCCATCGACGTAGACGCTGGCAAAGAGCTGGACGACCATGTAGAGCAGTAAAATGCTGATGCCGAGGACGCAGCTCGTGAGGAAGCGCATGCGTGTGATACCAAAGATCGGAATGAGCAGCAGCATGAGCGGCAAGACAGGGCCATGACTCCGTTGCAGGGGCTTCTTGGCGATGAGCACGGACGCAACGATGAAGAAGACGCCGCACGTGACGCGCTCGAGGTCGACACGTGGCGCAAACGTAAGGCCGAGTCCAATGCCAAAGGCTAGCAGCGCAACGCCTACATCGAGCGCGAGGACCAGCGTCGATGGCGGCGTCAGGTACCAGCTGTGGCCCATGAGCCCGGCGTAGACCAAAAGACCGATGAGAAAGACGGCGCGAATGCGGCCACGGGACGCTTCCTGCGTGCTGCGCATGTACCCGTCCTCGTAGGCGGGCGCGAACTGCAGCGTCCGGCCGTCCATTTGCGTCTGGCCTTGGATGAGCCCAAACTGGAGCTCGTCGTAGCGCTTCGACTCAAAGTCGCACACGATCTCTGCGCCATAGACAGCGTCAGACCCGCCGCTGGTGGGCCCTCGTACCTTTGAGCGTCGTGTCCTTGGGCGGCGGCGCGTTGGCGGCCAGCATCACCGCATGGATCTCGGCCACGTCCATCGCGAGGATATCTTGGTCTCGGAAATAGAGTGACCACGGATATAGCGTGTGCAGAGGCAGTTACACCATGACACAGCAGGCCACGTCGCGACGAAGTCCGACGCGGCTGGCGCCGCTGCCGACTGGCGACAGCGCTGACCGCCACGAGCTTGTGCGGCTGCTGCGCACGCTCTGCGCCCCGCTGAGGGACCCCATGGCCCGGCGGCCGTACCCGTCCGTGGCCGACAGCGCGGCCACAATCGACCACGGGCCATCGCAGTGGCGCACGTGGGCCATCTTCCTCGTCGCCCAGCTCAAGCAGAAGCAATTGGCACCCAACGAGCTCAAGGCCGCGACACTGCTGCTACTCTATTACGTCGCGTGCGATGCGACGCTCGCGCCGACTTTGATTCTCGAAGGCCTTGTGCCCTGCCTCGTCGACGCCATTGTGCGCATGCACCTGTCGCTGGCGGGCGCGACCCTGCACTTTGAGGTCGCCCATGCGCCGTGCCATCCGCTCGACATCGAGGTGGCTGTCGACGCGCTGCGCTACTCGATGCACGCGCTGGTCCTCGACCTGCACGGGCGTGGCCACGTCGACGCCTTGCTGCCGCTGGGGCCTATGTCGTTGGCCTACGTCTTGGAAGCGTCGCCGATCCCTCGCAACGAGGTCGACGAGTGTCTCTTGCGCCGGCCGCAGCCTCTATCGCCGTCGATCTTTGCGTGCGCGGGCCAAGAGAGCGCAACGACGTATGGCGTCGAGGACACGCTGGCCTCTCTCATCGCGCAGAGCAAGCTCTTCCAGCACCACTTGGCCGTACGCACGCTCGTCGTGCTTGTGCGCAGCATCACGGCCCAGTCGCATGGCTTTGAGCGCCGACGGCTCCTGAGCGACGGCGCGTTGCAGGCGCTGGCGCTGGCCGCAGCGCTGCCCAGCAGCAACAACACACCGCCAATGAACGTGCCGCCCGAGTCCTGGATACAGGATTTGATACAGCAGCCCAGCCAGCGTGTGATTGCGACACTCCTGAGTCTGTCTTTTGTGAGCACGATGGCGGCAAATGGCCTCGCCGACGTGCCCTCGGTGCGTGCATGGCCGCTTGATCATGGCAGTAGCATGGCTCCTCTGTGGTGTAGGACGAATTAGGCCGCGTCGTGCGCCTCCAGACAGCAGCCCTCTCGCACGCCCAGGGGACGGCCACCGACGCCTTGCCACAACGCCTACAGACCGACCCATCGTTTCCAGCAGCGTCGCGAGCGCACGGACTATTGTCTCGTCTCTGTGCTGCGCGAACAACATCGCCGCTGTGCAGTCCCACGAAAAAGCCCGTGGATGCAAACCGGGCAGTTCGCAAGCGGCGCTCCAGCGCTGGGAGGTGTGCGTGCCCGCGGCTAGCGGCCCACGACGTCATCGCTCTTGCCCGGCGCGCCGAAGACGTTGCGCAGAGCGTCGTGACCAGCTACCTCGTGGTGCGCGATGGTCTCAGCCCGTTTGTGGATTTTCGAGCGTGGGCCGCGGCCCAGCCATCCGCTGTCGTTCGGGAGAAGCGGCGGCAACGGCGCCTGGACGCCGA